TTTTCCAAGTTTTGAAAAGTAAAAAGCCAACCCATCTGAATCAAATTAATTAATGAAAAAAGAGATTATTTCGTGTGAGATAATGACAGATTACGAAAGCATTGATTATTTGTTTAAAATGCATCAAATTATTTATTAAGATTTCATTTGATAACTCTTCAATTTTCATTTTTGCATTTTTCAAACAGAAAAAGTACATAATAGCATCAGTTTCATCTTTTTCTCTGAATCAATGGGTAGATATCCATGGGATATATATTTAGCATTACCTTTGATTTTGAGAGTTCTTATATATTTTCTCTTCCGATCAACTCTAGTTTGATTTGAAAATAAAGGATTTAAATTCTTTTTCGCTTTTGGGTACGTTCAACATTGAAGAAAATTCTTACGTTCTTTCAGTTGCGATTCAATCATGCTTAAAAATTAATGTAACATTCATGTCATTCATATATACTAACTCTAGGCCAATGAAGTCTTTAATGCAAGCTAATCTCGCAAGTTGCTAATGTTAAAAAAAAAAAAGTAAGAAAAGAGAAATAATAAAAAAAAATTTTGGTTTTGAAGTGTAAATAACACTTAAAGGTAATTATGTCTTAAGGATACAATAAAGCTTCAAACTCTTCAGTCAAAAGCAATGAAAATTATTATACTGAAAGATTTATTTATAATGAATAAACAGACATAAATTCATATTCAGATGGTTATGACCTTCAGTATAATCATGACTTTTATGAATAATAATCTATTTATATTCAAATAGTTATGACCATTTATTATATGATAGTTGTTTATGTTTAAACATAATTATTTAAAATATCAATAAAATTAATACAAAATTAATTTTATTAATCAATAATTAAATATTTCTATCCAATATGAGATGCACCATATTCTAAACTACTAACAATCTCTCATTAGTTTGGAATGTTGGTGCTTAATTTTTACCTTTTACACAAATAAATATTATGAATACAAGAAGATATATCTCAATTTAAACATTCAATTAGCGTATATATATCTTAAAATTTTAATGAAGTTGATGGTGTCCGTAGATTAAACCTCAATTCCTAGTAATAAAATTGAAAATATAACACACATAATATTTATTTATTCTTCTATCAGAGGTTTATAACTACTTTTAGCACTATTATGGTCATGTGTTTATCCTATTCACAAATATTTACAAGAGAGACTCCAATTCTTATTGTTGAAGCAACATCACTTTTATGTTTATATAGGTAGAATTCTCGTTATATCTCCATTGCTTTAGACATTTAAAATTTTATTAAAAGTATAAAAACACATCCTTCACACGCAATAAATCACACTAGTTTCTAAAATTTGAATGAATTTTACTAGTATTTAACAGACACATAACAATAACTTGTTTTTGCCTATTAAATTTTGTAATTAAAGGTTACTAATTCAAAGTTAGGTTCCCATTATTGATGTCTAATAGTAAAAGTTTAAATCCATTATACTTGTAGTACTACTAACTGATATCTTGGAATTTGATTTTCTTTTATGGTAATTACCTCCCCTTGAGATTGAATCTCTAATATAATCACTTCAGGCTAATATGTTCAAACTTTTTATTTTATATGTCATTTATATGCTCCAGACATTATTACCTTATTCTTATCAAGTTAAGAAACAGTTGGTTTTAATTGTGGTCACAACTTTATATTTATTAATTTTAACCATTTTATTTCCATACTTTTATATATTTTTAATACAATTATATTTATAATACAATTGAAAAAACTCAATGAATAAACCAAACGATTTTAGTCCTTTTAAGGTTTTTAAAGACCTTTTTATAACTTTACTTTAATAAGTGTTTAAATTTATTAGCTTGTATAATTTGCTTATAAAATTATACTAAAATCTTACAACATTATGGTGGTAATTTTTATTTTTTTTTATTTTTATCCCCTCCAACATGCGCAAATATGCATTTTTTTATTAAAGAATAGCTCATTTAATTATCAAGATATATACTTAATCAAGTTGTCATTTCATTTATCTTTTCACTATTTGATTTTTTTTTTTAAGTATGAGGCCTCTAAATCCACTCTTAGTGAAAGATAATTAGCTAATATCTTAATATTTCAATAAAAGTTTCAAAACTTTTATATTTTAACTCAATATAAGAGTTTACACCAATAAGCAGATTTCAAATATAATCATGTTTCTATAGTCTTCTTTTAAAATTGTTATGTCAATTCATAAATATTTATATGAATCTTTTCATCATGGATACTGTTAATATATTTTTATTACCATGAACAAGACCATTTTCATCACTTAAATGGATCAAATAGCATTCTTTGTTATAAAAGTTTTCAAATTCATAAGATCTTTGAATCATTTATGGCTTTCAAAGTAAATATACGTTGAAATTTTCACTATATTAAACCATAGATGATAAATCATTTGTACAATCAATGAAGTAGATCATATACATAACAAAAATTACCACAATGTGATCAAGATTGTAGTATCAATTTTGGCTTATGGCTATTCTAAGCCAACCATAATAATCTACTTTATACCTACAAATCATGTAGATTTGGTTATTAAAATTATCATATTTATAATAATGACTTTTAGTGAAAATCAACTATTTTAAATGTTATCATGAGTTTTCAATACATATAGTAATTGTCCAATGGCCAATTTCAAGTTCATGATTATTGAAACTTCTAAACTTGAATTTAAAATTTTATAAAAACTTTATTTCTCCATCATTGTGTAGCCTATATATCTATGTTATTTACCACTTTAAATTGGTCATAACATTTTTGGATATATAATAAATTCAAACTTAACTCATATAACCAATATGACTATATACAATAAAAGTTCATAGTATATTAAACTCAAATTTCAAAGACTTTCACAATCATTTTGTGATCATATGTTCATTTCTAAATCACCATATCAATACAAGTCACGAAACATGAATCCAAAAAATTGTTTTCATATAATAGTATAAACAATAATTATAATATGAGTTCTACTCATATTTCAAGCAAAAATTCGTGATGAATTTGTATTGATTAAATTATTGATTGACTAACTTTAAGGTTTACGATTTTCACAAATCAATATTATTATCTAAGCTCATATGTTAATATGATATATAACCAGCCATATCCTTGCCATTGTCATAAAACTATTGAAGACCTCGAAAACTTATTCACTTTTCATTTTAACATCCTGTAAAAAGCCATTCTTTCAGGTACAAAAAGCAAAAATATCTCCATTGTATTTAACTAATAATGTACTAATTGGATGATGGCATTCTATCTCTATAGCTCATATCTTTCTTATATGTATAAGAAAGAAAATTTTATCTCATCCAGTTCATTTTCGTAATATATGGCAAACTATACCTATGTTCTCCATGCCATCACAAAATGGAATTAAACACATATATGTATTGGTGCCTTTGGAACTTTTAATTTGCATGTTCTTTTCTAATTTATAAACATGCCTAATTAGACATTGATGGGCATCCTTCAAAATGCTAGTAATCGACAAATGCATCAATATTTTTTATGACATGCTTTTTCGTTTAATCAATATCCCATATGCGAAAAGCAACAATGCTTTTTTGTAGCTATTTATTAACTCTTTAACGGCTTTTTATGATTTTTATTTTGTGATTGTTCACAATAAAATTTTATTTTGTAAAATCACTTTCAGTGTAATACACCTAGTAGGCAAAATACATGTCACACTGACCATATTTCTAATAATAACAATTATTTGATTTATTATCCACCAATTAATCCAAGAAACACCATATCTTAATAATAATTATTCACATATATCAATTTAATTTTAATTGATTTTCATGAAAATTGAACACAAATCAAAATTTAAACCAATAATAAATTTAAAATATATATATCAACATTTGATTTATAAAGATCAACAAAGATAAACTATACAAATAGCTTGACTCAACTTATTATCTTAATTTTGCTGCCATGATTTAAAAATAAAACTAATCTTGTGGTCAAATCTTATTTTCTACATATATTCTCCACTTATATCTAATTTTTCATGGTAAATACCTTTACTTATTTTCAATTGTTTTCATAAAAACCATGAGACAACTTGCCTATTCTATATATAACCAAGACTTGATAATTAAATAATTAGTTATTCTATTAGAATCCAATTTAATTCGTTACTTGATAATAAATGATAATTCTTTTGGTTATAAATCAATTCATGTCTTTCTTTTTTATGTTATCATGCTATTTCTCATCCCAATCTTAATAAGTATCAATTTTTCAAATAGATAAAATACAATTGTAGAGCCAATTTCAATACATGTATAAACTTATGCAATATAATCAATAGTTTGTATATTATGTTTTGACTTTACACACTAATAAAATTAATTGTTAACATATTTATCTCATTCAGTCAATCTTTTTACCAAAAATTATGCAAAAAATAAAAAATCTTTATGAAAATTAATATTTTGGTCCATAGAAACATTAATCATTTGACACTTTGAGCCTTCTCCAATAATAATCTCCAAATCATGCCAATTTCTTTTCTTTATATTTTCGTCATACAAAATATAACTTTCTCATAATTACCTTTAAATTGTTAGAAAAAATAAATATGAGAAGAAAAATAATAAAAAAAAATTTTAACTTTGAAACATGAAGCACACTTTTTTAAAGGCAATTATGCTTTTGGGATATAATAAAATTTCAAACTCTTCAATCAGAAACAATAAAAATGATTATACTAAAAAATTTATTTATAATAAATGAATAGACAAAATTTTATTTAGATGATTATGATTTTTTGTATAATCATGATCTTTATAAATAATAATCTATTTATATTCAAATAGTTATCACCATTTGTCATATGATAATTATTTCTGTTCAAACATAATTATTTAAAATATTAATAAAATTAATATAAAAATTAATTTTATTCATCAATAATTAAATCTTTCTGTCCAATATAAAATACATCACATTCTAAACTACTAACAACTAAAACCTATCTTCATTTGCAAGCTAGTCCAAAGTTATATCATATTGCTTGGTAGCTAATACCATAGTTTTGGTTAAAAGATGATCTGTAACAGGTTCTCTATTAACCATTCATATAATAGTGTAATAGTACTAGAAAGAAAGAAACAACAATAAAAAACTATTTATTACAAAGGAAGTTCACAACTGATGAACAATTTCCAAGCACATTAAGAAAAATTAAGGACCTGTTACTATGATATAATAATATAATTTAGAATGGAGAGAAGCTGTTTTAGCCAATTCTTGGAGGTACTCTGAACTTTTCCTGAAGGATCAAGATATAATCGAACCCGTCCTTGGTTGAAATCCATCGTAACAAAAGAATTAGCTTCTCCCACCTGAATCTGGACTCTTGGCATGTCTTCCTTAATCTTTTTCTCTGCTTCCTCTGGGGTCAGCCCTATTAACTCGGGCCATTCCATTTTGGGAGCAGTGTTTGAACCAAGCAAACTCCCGTAAGTTCCTGCAAGAGTACCAATAAATATCAAATTTAATTCTGAAGAAAATAAATATTTATTCAGGTTCCCTGTCAAAGTATAGGAAACAATCATTTAGATCGAGCTTCTCCTCAATGGTCAAATAACAGGATAATCCCATCAAAGATCCAGCAGAATAGATGTCTGATCATTTCAATAATCAAATATTGGGAACTGTTGGTATGGGAAGAAGGGAAGCAAACAACTTACTTGGTGAGACTGGTGTTGAATCTGTTAATTCACCAGGTTCTTTTTCAGTGCGCTGGTTCTCAGCCATAGCAAAGCAATTCTAGTTTGGTGACTTATGAAGGGCAAACAGGTTTCAATGTCCTCTTCCTGTTGATTTTATCGAATTTTCTATCTTTGGTTTTGCCAGATGGAGAAAGTTCCGGAGTCCAGACAACTCCTTGACATGGTTGGCATAGAATTTCATAATCGCTATAAGCTACAGGAATGTCCCATTCCTACCAGGCCGGCTCGTTAAATGTTGACTCTTATAAAATTCAGGATTTAGCCTAGAAACGCAGGGACAATGGCCCAAAAGATTGAACCTTCAACCTCTGAATCCATCCACTTTGGGCTACTAATCCAACCACTTGCTTATCTTTAATTCATAATATTGGGCTTTGTTTTGAATTCAACAGTCTTAGCTTCCATTATCCTGCCGAAGGCCCAATTTGGTATTTATTGCCATGCTCTGATATCTCTGTTACCAGTCTAGCTCTGGGACTTTTCTCTCTTCGGAACCATCGGTCCCGCGAGCATTTGCTGAATCTACTAGAATCATGATAAAAGTCATGTCCGCAGGTGTGGACAGAAGACGAAATTCCAGAAGTCTTTCAGGGCATATACCCAAGTTATTAGCTGTCTGAATCAGAGGAATTTGAATCATGATAAATATTGTGGTGTGACTTGCAAAGCATGAAAAGTACACGTAAATATAAAATTCAATTACTTGGTTGAAACCTGAAAGAGAGATCTCCAAGGATTAGAAATGTCACAAGTTTTTTCACACGCTAAATACTCTTTTTTTTTTTTTGGTGCGTGGGTTATTACGGCCGACTTTCAGTAGATTGGACAAAATCCACATTTTTTCAAATTTTCTATGTTTTGTTCTTAAGTCAAGCCACAAATTTTCATACAGGTGTATAATGGTGCTTTAAAACATAATGCAATTTCAAATACAGTGCACTGCTCACAAATTACCCATTTGCATAGGTAACTCACGGTTGCCTAAATTCCAAGCAACCCACTCATCCTGCCATGGACAGGGAAGAGTGTTTTGGGGGTTGAAAAAGCAACATCCAAAAGATATAAACGCAGAAATACCAGGTTTTTAAATATCTAAAGGAAATAAAGATTGAACCTTTGCCGAAATTTTCAATTTCAATGTATACAAAGCAATGGATTCAGATTTATTAAAAACTCCAAAGAAAGTTTACAATCATCGACCTCCTGAAATTTCAGACTCTGCAACAGAAGATGAATGAGAGAATCCCTTGCAAGCAGAAGATATATATGACATGGCAAAATCATCAAAGCCTTCTCGATGGGTAAATATTAGGCCACTGGAAGAGATACAAAGTGATGACATTTCTGGGAAAGGAATATCTCCTCCTAAAAACTGAACAACTTGGCGCATGGTTGGCCTTGCTTCAGGCTCTGAGTGGGAGCAGAGCAACCCAAGTTTTAAGACCAACTCAACTTCCTCTGCTACATAAGCTGTACCCAAATTTGGATCCTTTGCCTCAAGAATATCACCTTTGTACCAACAAGAATACACCCAGTCAACCAAGATTGCATCTTCTGTTGGAGATTGTGAGTGTATTGGCCTTCTTCCGCAGGCAACTTCAAGCAAAAAGGCCCCAAAAGAGAACACATCAGTGCGTGGTGTGGCTTTCCCAGTTCGAAAATGCTCTGGAGCCAGATAACCAAGAGTGCCCACAACATGAGTTGTTTGTGGATCCTTTCCATGATCATACAACCTAGCAAGCCCAAAATCTCCCAATCTTCCATTTAATTCACCATCTAGCAAAACATTACTACCCTTAACATCTCTGTGAATCACAACCTGCTCCCATTCTTCATGTAAATAAAACAACCCTGATGCTACACCTTTGATGACTCTGAATCTTTGTCCCCAATTCAGGGTGACCTTTGGCTGGTCATGCAAATACTTATCAAGACTTCCATTAGGCATGTAGTCATAGACCAAAAGAAGCTCACCTTTACGCCGGCAATATCCCAAGAGTTGAACTAAATTCCGGTGACGGAGACGACCGATACTCACAATTTCTGCAACAAATTCCTTCATCCCTTGCCTTGATTCATGTGAGACTCTTTTCACTGCAACCTCGAGTTTACTGGTTGGTAGAATTCCTCTATACACCCTGCCAAATCCACCAGCACCCAATAGCTCCTTGTCTTTGAATCCTTTTGTAGCAATATATAGATCTTTATACTTGAATCTATGAGTCCCATACGGAAGCTCCCAACTTCAACAACTTCAGCAAACTTTCTCTTCCTTCTGATGTAATAAACTAAACCTGAAACTGCTGCCAAAACCAAACTCACTAAAATCAAAGGCAACCCAATTGTCAAAATTTTTGATATTTTCTTTGGTTCTAACCGAGGAAGCTTGGGAAGTTTAGACAGCGTAAGCTCTTGCGCCTGACCATTAATCTTAAAGCTCCAACCTAAAACATAATGAGATGAGTAAAAAGAACCGGTTGACGATGAAAAGCCAACATACATCTCATTGTTAATAATTGAAGAAAGATCACGAGACAAAGATAAAAGTGGAGTATTGGGTTTAGGAACATTAAATGGGCTAAAGTAACATCCATTCTCTTCTCTAGACCATGATATTCGACCCAAACTTGCATCCGTTGCCCACTGATCAGAGTCAGGTTTTTTAACTGATGGGTGCCATCCTCGTAATATCCAGCTGGAAGAGATTCATTAGAAACCAACCCATTAATATCAATCCCAACGTGATTGTCATTGATGTCAGCAAACTCGTTATTTTGTACCGTATCGAGTTCTACAGCAACAACATGGTTTGTATCATTGCCATTGTTGGACCCATTGAAGAGTCCAAGATACTGGAGTGGAAGAGCTCCAGGAAGCCCCCTAGTGGGTGCAATCACGAAAGCGATTCCACTGCCGCCGAGAGTTGGATATTGAGGAAAAATAGCGAAGATAAAGGTCGTAGAGAAGGAAGAAACTGAACCGTTTGTTGAGTTCTTGAAGTTTATAAGGTAAGGGTAAAAAGCATGACCTTGTTGTCGGACGGTTTCATTGGTGAGCTTTAGGAGTCCATTGGAAGTGATTTCTGCAAAGCCATCAAGGCTTAGATTAGCGGGCCGAAATCCGTTGTAAATGAAATCAACATCATTGGCAGCGGCTAAGTTTATCAGAAGAGTTAGCAGAATTGCTAATCTGAAACACATGGCCAAAGTCTGCTTGCCCTGTTCTCCTTTTTGTCTTTGTTTTTCTTTGCCTTCTAATAGTGCTTGAGATCGGTATGAAAGTTCATAAAATCTCTCACCCATCAGCGGTTCAAGTACTTGGCCCATTACCATAGCAATAAGAAAGTTTTAAATTTACTAGCCACCAACGCAAAACAAGCTTGATCATATATTTATGCCCAAAATAATAGAAAAAGAAAAAGCTTTATCCTTGAGTCTTTACCTCTGAAGTTGCTGTCGCACTGTAAGGAGTGGGGACAAGAGACTACCATGAATTCAACGCCGGTTTCCCCACGCAATTCGTAATGATCATTGGGACCCCTGACACCGGCCAGCACTATGCACTCAAGTTCACCATTGGAAGTTTCCAAGAGAAGGGCATTGGTCAACCTCAATAAGCGATAATGGTCCAGGCAAAGTTGCTTGGCTTTTTTTTTTGTCTATTTTTTGGAATTTTTTTTGGATAACCAGTTTTTGAGTTTGAAAAAGGTCTGTTTTTAACAATTTTTATTAACTAATAACAATAACACTCGGAAAACATGAGGCAAAAGCAAAGAAATAAGCTCTTAAGCTGATTAATTAGTTGTTTGAGAGTGTAGGATCCATATATATTTCCAGGAAGCATTTAACTTATCAAAGTTGTTTAAGCTGATTTTCCAAGTTTTGAAAAGTAAAAGGCCAACCAATCTGAATCAAATTAATTAATGAAAAAGAGATTATTTAATAATTAAGACAACCTTAAACAAGATATTAAGATTGGGGTTCTAGCCTTTTTCTCTTTCTTAATGTAAGATTTTGTCTCTCTTAAATAATAAAAAAAAAAATTACGAAAAGCATTGATTATTTTTTAGTATGCATCTAATTATTTATTAAGATTTCGTTTGAGAACTTTTCAATTTTTATTTTTGCATTTTTCAAATAAAAAAAAGTATATAATAGCATCATTTCCATCTTTTTTTTCAGTGAATCAATGGGTAGATTTTCATAGGATATATATTTGACATTATCTTTGATTTTGAGAGATTTTACATATTTTTTCTTCTAATTAACTAGGTTTGATTTGAAAATAGAGGATTTAAATTATTTTTCCCTCTTGGGTACGTTTTGTAAGGATTGTGAGGTCCAATCCCTTTTTTTTTTTTTAGATCAATCAAAGATTATGGGTTTTTTTTACTTTTGACTTTTAATTAGAAAAAAAAAAATCCTAAAAAGGTGGGGTTGTTTTTGGCGTGAAAAAAAAAAAACGAGGGTGTGGCGTCGAAACTGAGAGGAAAAAAAGCTAAAAAAGATAAGAGAGAAAAGGGTTAACGAGATGAGAGAGTTTAGCTTGAAAGAGTTTAGCTTGAATATTGAGTTAAAATTTTATTAGTAGATTCATGATTTAATATTTTATGTTATAAAAGATTGGATTTAAAGATTTTTAAGAATAAAATGAGAGTGTATTAATTTATTTATTTGATTATTTATGTATAATTGTTAGAAAAATTAGAAAGTGTTTATAAAAAAAAACATTAATAAATTTTTTTTAGAATAATTAACAATTATCTAATGATGAAAATTTTAAAATTTCATATGGTAAATTTTTTAAAAAATCTCTAGATGAAGAATTTTCTCTAAATTTAACCTAAATAGTAAAATAATTTAGACTAAATTTCAATAAAAATATTTTTTTCAAATAAATATTTTAAAAATATAAAAATAAAACTTAAAAATTTAGGTGAAAATATATAATAATTATCTAACGATAAAATCTTTAAAAAAATCACAAATAGTTAAATTTTTATAAAATTTTTAGGTGAAAGGTTTTATCTAAATTCAACTAAACTGATAAATGAATTTAAATGAGACTTCAAAAAATAATTATCATATTTTTTTTTCAAAAATTAAAAAATTAATAAGAGTTTAGATTCTAAATTTAACCAAATGGTGAAAAATTTAGAAATAAAACTTGTAGGAAAATTTTTTAAATAAATTCAAATGGTGAAAATTTTAAAAATAGAAAAAAATTCTAAAGACGAAATTCTTAGTAATTATAAATGAATTATTATATAAGATATTTCAAGGTGAGAAAATATTTTTAATTTTAGCTCAAATAATAGAAGAATTAGATATATTTTTAATAAAATAAAATTTTAACAAAAAAAAAAGTTTATTAAGCTTTTCGACGATTGAGCCTTTTCAAAAAAGTAAATGAAATTCTTAAATACTCTTAAGGTGAAAAAATATTTTTTAAAATTCTATCGATTGATGATAAAATCTTATAAGTCATTTCCATTAATTAAACATTAAAGTAAAAACCATTAGAACTAAGATGATTGCTAGAATAATTTAAAATTAAATGATACAATTTTAGGATGGATGTTGTGGAGGTGCTATAATCTTTTCCACACTTAATCAAACTTTGAACTTAGTTTTGTTCATAAGATTATAACCTATTTTTTAAGGACCTTTAGTTAAGTTTAAGAGCTTCTTAAAAAAATAAATTCATTAGGTAATTAATCACACTCAAATAAAAAATTAGTGACGACTCTTTAGATTATGTCTAATTTTAACTTATGGATCTATACCTCATGATATTACAAGAAAATCACATGTTACAATTTATGTTGACATGAAAATATAAATTATAATTTTTTGATTTTATTAAACTTATCTATAATTTTTTAAAAATTTTAAATCGTATTATTTTAATATCTTTTATTCATATAATATTATAATATTGTATTTCAAATCATTATATCTAAATCTACCTAAAAATTTGAAAATTAAAAACTAAACCCACGTTAATATCAACGTTACTGTTTACATATCTTAAAATTTAAGTTAACCCTTATAGTTTGTTAAAAAATATATATTAAAAGATAGAATGGACATCCTTTAATTACTTTTTAATATAATTTTTATCGTCCTTTAAAAAGTGTAAAAAGTATAATTTTTACAATTTAATCTTACAAATGTTAATGATATGTGACAATAAATATATTAAAATAATAAATATTAAAAAATAAACATGAATTATCATTAGAAGTTAGAACCCACAAGAATTACTAATTTGCTAAAATTATTTATAAAAAAAAAAAATATATATATATATATACGACTAATACTTCAGTCAATACTTTTAACCTTTTAAGTCCTACTACTGATATCATGCAATATAGGCAAAAGAAATCAACTGGCCATTAATGCCAATGGTTTTTGCCGTTGTTATTTAACCCATGCAACGACTTTTATTTTTTTTAATTAATAGTAGGTCCTACCATGGGTCATGTCAATCACTTTTTTTTTTGTTTTCTTAGAAAATTTTAAAAAATTTTAATTTAATTGACAATGGGTTCTACCATGATTTATGTTAGTCAATTATTAAGAAACTTAAAAGTTAGGTTATTATAATAAAATATTTAATAATTAAAGAAATATTAATTTTAAAATTGAAAAAATAATTATTATTTATCTTATTATTTAATTGAATATAAAGTTATAATATGTATATTTAATTTTTTGGTTACTTTCCTTTTGATTCCTTTTATATTTTACCTTTTGTTATTTTTTGACCTAATTTATTTTATTTGATATCTTTTGTAAAGCTATTAATCAATTAAAGTAAAGATGATAAAGTAATTTGCGTTTTGTGAGGTTTAATTCACCCTGGGCTAATTGTTCTTTTATTTTATCCAATTTTTTTTTTTTTTTTAAATTATTCGGATGGATCATAAACAAATTTAGGATATCCTATTTTTTAAGGGTATGATTTTGATTTTTTAAAGTTTATTTATATATGATTTATTTTTATTAAATTATTATTAATTTTTGAAATTTCATAAATATACGGGACATTTTTATTTGACTTTTTTGTCATTTTTCTAAACCAGGACAAATTTTGAAAACAAATATTACAATATAAATAGGGATTGAAAAATAATTTATATTTAATAGGTTTTATTTACCTTGATTAAATAAGTGTGATTTAAAAAAAAAATCAGGATCTGAGTTTTTTATTTTTTAAATTGAGATTAAGCTTAGATCAGGTTTTAGATCTTTTGATTTATCTTTAATATATTAATATGTATTTTATTATTAAATCTGTTTTATAGTTATATATCTAAATTATATTAATTAAGCCATTCCTTTATACCTTGTTTTGATTAAACATATTGGCTTTAGACATATATATATATATATTTATCTTTATATACTAGTTGACTATTCGTTGTAAAAAAAAAAAAAATCAAAATAAGGCATTTTAAATAAGTATAGTTGAAAGAGGAAAAACTAAATCAATCATCAGCAAGATAGTAGCCATCAACAACATAGTAGCAAAAGAACATTAATAACAAAGAACTACAAAATGATGTTATTTGATATTATTAACAAACAGATTTGGAAGGGATAGATGAAGTAGCAATCTTGGAAATTGACAAATTTTCTACAAACTTTATAAAAAGCCAAGGAAGATGGTGTAGTTTTTGACACTATTCCACAAAAAATTACCTAACATATAGCAAAAGAACATTAATAATAAAGAACTACAAAATGATGTCATTTGATATTAACAACAGATTTGGAAGGGATAGATGAAGTAGCAATCTTGGAAATTGACAAATTTTCTACAAACTTTATAAAAAGCCAAGGGAGATGGTGTAGTTTTTTACATTATTCCACAAAAATTACCTAACATCATTTGACTATCTACACCATTTTGTTAAAAATATTCATTTAGGTCAAAGCATGGAATTCAAAATAATATTATACTTAGCAAACTAATGTGCCACAATTTTTTGGACAACCTAGCATGTATGTTGCAAAAATGTATTCCACATGGTAAAGCAAAAACCATATCAAAAGACATTTTTATTTTGAAGATCAAAAAGTGTCTTCCAAGTCAGCCTTTTCATCATTTTTCACATTTTTATTCACCAAAAATTTTTTGATTTAGTTAAAGGATGCAAAACCCCAAATAACAATTAATATTTTTCAAAATGAAATAATTAAAGGCATGCAAACTACTATTGTGTAGGAAAATTTCCTATAATAATCTGCAAAAGCTAAGCAAAATAAGTAAAACCGTCATGATAATTAATCAGCATAAGATGCTAAGCAAACCAAAATTATTATTTTTAAGAATTCAAAGCCAAGCACATTGACCACTCAGGTAGGCAGCTATTCAGTGAAACAAATAGCCTAAAATACAAATATCATTGTCAAAGTTACAGCTTTAGAGAAATGCTATGCACACTCATAGAATTAGAACTGTAGCAGTGTTTGGTCATATATAATTTGATCATCAAGAATAAGAGTAGATTAAGCAGTTGAACCAGAAAAAATGGTTAGGTCAGCATGCTTTTTAAATCATTTGCTTGAATCAAGAAATAATATTTATGATAGATTTTTTTAGGGAGATTGATATCTACGAATAGTTTTTTAACTGAGAAACACTGCAATTTTTCTGAGTGTCAAGAATAGTTGTTTAAGTTGATTTTCCAAGTTTTGAAAAATGAAAAGCCAACCCATCTGAATCAAAGTAATTAATGAATAAGAAATTATTTCATGTGAGATGATGAAAGATTACGAAAGCATTGATTTATTTTTTTAATATGCAGCAAATTATTTATTAAGATTTCAGTTGATAACTCTTCAATTTTCATTTTTGCATTTCTCAAACTGTAACAAGTTCTCCATTATCCATTCATATAATAGTGTAATAGTACTAGAAAGAAAGAAACAACAATCAAAAACTGATATGGCAAAGAGTTCACAACTGATGTACAATTTCGGAACACATTAAGAAAAATTAAGGACGTGTTACTAGATATAGTAAATAATTTAGAATGGAGAGAAGCTGTTTTAGCCAATTCTTGGAGGTCTCTGAACTTTTCCTGAAGAATCAAGATATAATCGAATCCGTCCTTGGTTGAAATCCATGGTAACAAAAGGATTAGCTTCTACCACCTGAATCTGGACTCTTGGCATGTCTTCCTTAACCTTTTTCTCTGCTTCCTCTCGGGTCAGCCCTACTAACTCGGGCCATTCCATTTTTGGAGCAGTGTTTGATCCAAGCAAACTCCCGTAAGTTCCTGCAAGAGTGCCAATAAATATCAAATTTAATTCTGAAGAAAATAAATATTTATTCAGGTTCCCTGTCAATGTATAGGAAACAATCATTTAGATGGAGCTACTCCTCAATGGTCAAATAACAGATAATCCCATCAAAGATCTAGCAGAATAGATGTCTGATCATTTCAATAATCAAATATTGGGAACTGCTGGTATGGGAAGAAGTGAAGCAAACAACTTACTTGGTAAGACTGGTGTTGAATCTGTTAATTCACCAGGTTCTTTTTCAGCGCGCTGGTTCTCAGCCACGGCAAAGCAGCACTATTTTGGTGACTTATGAAGGGCAAACTGGTTTCAATGTCCTCTTCCTGATTGATTTTATCAAACTTTCTATCTTTGGTTTTGCCACATGTAGGGAGTTCCAGAATCCAGACAACTCCTTGACATGGCTGGCATAAAATTTGATAATTACCATGCGCTACGCGAATGTCCCTTTCCTGCCAGGCCGCCTTCAAATGCAGGGACAATGGCCCAAAAGTATGAACCTTCAACCTGCAAATCCCTTCATTTTTGGGCTTCTAAACCGACCACTTAATTATCTTTAAACCATATTTTTGCGCTTTTTTTTCAGATTCAACAGTCTTAGCTTCCATTATCCTGCCAAAGGCCCAAATTGATATTTATTACCATCCTCTGATCACTGGCGTTGCTCTGAAACATTAAAATTTATATATTTATTTTATATTTTATATAAAAATTATATGTTATAATTTATTTTAAAATAATATATATTTTTAATTATGTTAAATTTATATATAATTATTATTAAAATTTTAATTATATATTTTTTATATTTTTAAAATCATATCATGTTATATTATTGTATAATATTTTAAATTATAACTCTATCCACGAAGATTCGTTGAATCCACTAGAATCATGATAAAAGTCATGTTTGTAGGTTTGGACAGAAGAGATATTTAATATTTAACCAAATTCTAGAAGTCTTTCAGGGCATATATCCAAGTTCTTGGCAGCCTAAAGCACGGAAAATTGAATCTTGATAAATCATGTGTCATGACTTGCAAAGCATGAAAAATACACCTAAATATAAAATTCAAAACACTTGGTTGAAACTTGAAAGCGAGATCTCCAGGGATTTCACAAACAAGTTCTTTCACACCCTAAATACTTTTTCGTTTTTGTGTTATTACAATTAGAAGTGAGAAAAAAAATTTTAAAAATTAAAAATTATTCGGTTTAATTTGGTTAATTTTTTTATTTGAATTGGATTAAGTTTGAATATTAAAAATATATATATTAAAGTTAGATTAAATTTAAAATTAAGATATAAAAAAAATAAAAAATTAAATCAAATCAAATTATATATTTTTGTTAATTTAAATATATTTTAAATTATATATAAAATAAAATAATTATTTTATATATAATTTTTTTAAATATATTAAAAAAATTACATAAATATACCATGAAATTTAATGCGATTTGAGTTTGTTTCTTGAGATTTAAAAAGTAACATTTAATCACTATGAATTGTGTATCCGTGATATTCCGTTAATTTTTATAAATATGTTAACGCTTAATCAATAAACCTTACCTCTTTTCTTATTTTTTTTGTTTGCTTTTTCTTATATTCAAATTTAAAAAAAAAAAATTAAGTTGAAAACATGAATTCTTCAAAATATTCAGCAAGTGAGAGATCAAATGTTGAAAAAGTATATTATTATGGTGTGTGCCACTAGTTGATCTTTTTCCTCTTTCTCTTTCGGTCTCTATTTTTAAAAACTTAAAAATTCTTAAAAAATTCAAATTAAAACCCATAGAAAAAAATCCTTCTTGATGAGTTGTTGTGATTGTTACGTGAATTTATGTTTGTTTTGAGGGTTTATTGTGTGTAAGTAATTCATGGTGGATTTAGATTCTGTAAGTTTTTTTTGTAAGTGTTGGGTTTGTTGATGGTTGTCTCTAGATTTTTAGTGGCTATCAAATGAAAATTAGTTATTTGTTTGATGCTTGACATAATTCATAATAGCAAAAATTTCATTCCAAAAAAGACACAAAATTAAAAATTTGCATATAAACAGATAAGCAAAAAAATTGAAAGTCTTAACAAAAAATAATCAACATAGCCAAAGAACACCATTAACAGCAGCATCCAAGAGCAAATCAAAATTTTAGGTTTTAATTTGAGATTGTTTTTCTGGGTTTATGAAGAAGAGTTTTTTGTTAGTTTTGGATTTAGTTGTTTAAAAAAAAAATTCATCTAATTTTAGAGAGAGAAGATGAATTGAAGATGAAGAAAATATAAAAAAAAAAAAAGAAAAGGTAATGATTTTAGAAAAAAATACAATAAAACAAATCATAAAGTAATTAAATATCACTTTTTAAACATAAAAAAATAAACTCAAGTAGGTTAAATCTCATTGTATATTTATATAATTTATCTTATATTAAAATTTTCATTAAAATGATATATAAAAAAATTAAATTTTAAAAATCAATAAACTAAACCGAATTGATAAAATTCGATTTAAATCAATTTAAAAAAAATCACTTAAAATTCGAATGATTTTTAAAAATTAATAATATTATATATTATTTAAAAAAATTAAATTCAATCCACTTCAATCCAAACTATTATCATTCCTAATTACAGCAGATTGGACAAAATCCATATTTTTTTCAAATTTTCTATGTTTTTTTTCTAAGTTCAGCCACAAATGTTCGTACAAGTGTATGATAGTGCTTTAAAACATCATGAAATTTCAAAACCATGCATTTCTCACAAATTACCCATTTGCAAACGTAAGTCACGGTTGCCTAATTCCTTCAGACTCCCTTCTCAAGGTGTTTTTTGTTATTATTTTAATAATATTATCTTTAAATTTTGTGTGAACTTTTTTTTTTTTTTTGAGATTTTAAAAATGTATTTTTCCACGTATCTATTTTCTTACGCATTTAATATTTGAAATGTGGGTGTAGAAAAATATTCTACGGACACGTTTTACTAGTCAACTTGCATCATAGCGTTTCAGGATTAACCATTTTAAAAAGCATAAACAATAAGATTAATGGGATTTTATGGCGTTAAGATAGATGAATTACAACATCATTATTCGTATTGAGAAAGATGTTTAAAATTGAAATTAGGTTCCACATCAGACAATTTGGACCTTTTTACCATGCTCCAAAATTAAGTTGATTGGTGGTAGGGTTCACATTTCACAATTGCAGAACATTCCAAACAACCCACTCACCCTGCCAGGCGACCATGGACGGGGAAGAATGTTTTGGGGTTGAAACAGCAACATCCAAAAGATATAAATCACAAGTACCTGGTTTAAAATATCTAAAGGAAATAAAGATTGAACCTTCGCTCAAATTTTCTATTTCAATGTATACAAAGCAAAAGATTCAGATTTATTAAAAACTCTGAACAAACTTTACAATCATCGACCTCCTGAAAGTAGAGACCCTGCAACAGAAGATGAATCGGAGAATCCCTTGCAAGCAGAAGATGTATATGTCATGGCAAAATCATCAAAGCCTTCTCGATGGGCAAATGTTAGGCCACTGGAAGAGAGATAGAGTGATGAGATTTCTGGAAAAGGAATATCTCCTCCTAAAAACTGAACAACTTGGCGCATGGTTGGCCTTGCTTCAGGCTTTGAGTGGGAGCAGAGCAACCCAAGTTTTAAGACCAACTCAACTTCCTCTGCCACATAATCTGTACCCAAATTTGGATCCTTTGCCTCAAGAATATCACCTTTGTGCCAACAAGAATACACCCAGTCAACCAAGATTACATCTTCTGTTGGAGATTGTGCCTGTCTTGGCCTTCTTCCGCAGGCAACTTCAAGCAAAAAGGCCCCAAAAGAGAACACATCAGTGCGTGGTGTGGCTTTCCCAGTTCGAAAATGCTCTGGAGCCAGATAACCAAGAGTGCCCACAACATGAGTTGTTTGTGGATCCGTTCCATGATCATATAACCTAGCAAGCCCAAAATCTCCCAATCTTCCATTTAATTCACCATCCAGCAAAACATTACTAGCCTTAACGTCTCTGTGAATCACTACCTGCTCCCATTCTTCATGTAAATAAAACAATCCTGATGCTACACCTTTGATGACTCTGAATCTTTGTCCCCAATTCAGGGTGACCTTTGGCTGGTCATGCAAATACTTATCAAGACTTCCATTAGGCATGTAGTCATAGACCAAAAGAAGCTCACCTTTACGCCGGCAATATCCCAAGAGTTGAACTAAATTCCGGTGACGGAGACGACCAATACTCACAATTTCTGCAACAAATTCCTTCATCCCTTGCCTCGATTCATGTGAGATTCTTTTCACTGCAACCTCGAGTTTACTGGTTGGTAGAACTCCTCTATACACCTTACCAAATCCACCAGCACCCAATAACTCCTTGTCTTTGAATCCTTTTGTAGCAATATATAGATCTTTATACTTGAATCTATGAGTCCCATACGGAAGCTCCCAATCTTCAACAACTTCAGCAAACGTTCTCTTCCTTCTAATGTAATAAACTAAACCTGAAACTGCTGCCAAAACCAAACTCACTAAAATCAAAGGCAACCCAATTGTCAAAATTTTTGATATCTTCTTTGGTCCTAACCGAGGAAGCTTGGGAAGTTTAGACAGGGTAAGCTCTTGCGCCTGACCATTAATCTTAAAGCTCCAACCTAAAACATAATGAGATGTGTGAATAGAACCGGTTGACGATGAAAACCCAACATACATCTCATTGTTAATAATTGAAGAAAGATCACGAGACAAAGATAAAGGTGGAGTATTGGGTTTAGGAACATTAAATGGAGCTAAAGTAACATCCATTCTCTTCTCTAGACCATGATATTCGATCCAAACTTGTATCCGTTGCCCACTGAGCAGAGTCAGGTTTTTGAACTGATGGGTGCCATCCTCATAATATCCAGCTGGAAAAGATTTATCAGACACTAATCCATTAATATCAATCCCAACGTGATTGTCATTGATGTCAGCAAACTCGTCATTTCGCATCGTATCGAGTTCTACAGCAACAACATGGTTTTTATCACTGCCATTGTTGGACCCATTGAAGAGTCCAAGATACTGGAGTGGAAGAGCTCCAGGGAGCCCCCTAGTGGGTGCAATCACGAAAGCGATTCCATGGCCGCCGAGATTTGGATATTCAGGAACAATAGCGAAGACAAAGGTCGTAGAGAAGGAAGAAACTGAACCGTTTGTTGAGTTCTTGAAGTTTATAAGGTAAGGGTAGAAAGCATGGCCTTTTTGTCGCATGGTTTCATTGGTGAGCTTTAGGAGTCCATTGGAAGTGATTTCTGCAATGCCATCAAGGCTTAGATTAGCGGGCCGAAATCCGTTGTAAATGAAATCAACATCAACGGCGGCGGCTAAGTTTATCAGAAGAGTCAGCAGAATTGCTAATCTGAAACACATGGCCAAAGTCTGCTTGCCTTGTTGTCCTTTTTGTCTTTGTTTTTCTTTGCCTTCTAATAGTGCTTGAGATCAGTTAGAAAGTTCATAGAATCTCTCACCCATCAGCCGTTCAAGTAGTTGGCCCGTTACCATAGTAATAAGAAAGTTTTAAATTTACCAGCCACCATTGCAAAGCAAGGTTGATCTTATATTTATCCCCAAAAAATAGAAAAAGAAAAAGCTTGATCCTTAAGTCTTTACCTTTGAAGTTGCTGTCGCACAGTAAGGAGTGGGGACAAGAGACTTCTGTAAACTTGACGCCGGTTTCCCCACGCAATTCTCACCAGCACCATGCATTCAAGTTCACCATTGGAAGTTTCCAAAAGTAAGGGCATTGGTCAACCCCCGTAAGCGATAACGGTCCAGGCACGGTTGCTTGGCCTTTTTGTCTGTTTTTTGGGATTTTCTTTGGATAAACAGTTTTTGAGTTTAAAAATGGTCTGTTTTTAACAACTACTATTAACTAATAAGAAAAACAGTCAGAAAACATGAGGCAAAAGCAAAGAAATAAGCTGTTAAGCTGACTAGTTGTTTGAGAGTGTAGAATCCATATTTCGGGGAAGCGTTTAACTTATCAAGAATAGTTGCTTAAGCTAATTTTCCAAGTTTTGAAAAGTAAAAGGCCAACCCATCTGAATCAAATTAGTTAACGAAAAAGAGATTATATCATGTGAGATAATGAAAGATTACGAAAGCATTGATTATTTTTTAATATGCATCAAATTATTTATTAAGATTTCATTTAATAATTTTCAATTTTCATTTTGCATTGCTCAAACAGAAAAAGTGACCTTTTGGTAGATATCCATGGGGTATATATTTGGCATTTTCTTTTATTTTGAGAGTTCTTACATATTTTCTGTTTCGATCAACTCTGTTTTGATTTGAAAATAGAGGATTTAAATTTTTTTCCCTCTTGGGTACGTTCAACATAAAACAAGATCCTTAGGTTCTTTCCGTTAGGGTTCAATCAAGCTTAGAAATTAATGTAACATTCATGTCATTCGTATATACTATTTCGGGTCAATGAAGTCTTTAATTCAATCTAATCTGGCAAGTTGCTAAAACCTGTCCTCATTTGGAAGCTAGTCCAAGTTTATATCATATTGCTAAAACCTCTCAATGTTTGATATGAAGAGGGAATTTGATCCAACAAATTATCTCTTATTCGTTTCTCCTATATCTCATCTGTTTATTCTAGTGATCTTCCCGTGGAGTTGAAATTATAAGAAACATAGACATTTCAAATCTGTGAGCCTGACAAATCAAAGATACATGCAAAGATGGCGGCTTTATGCACATTGAAGATGATGATTTCTTCCATTTTAGACCCATTCAATCAATTAAGAAATATGATATTTACAAGTAACTGCAATGCGTGACTCAGTTCCTTGGTTTCTCATAGGGTTCATTACATTCTCAGCTGATAGAATTTCTGATTGATCGGTGGATTCACTAATTTTTATCAGAAACAAAAGCAATGAATATTTAGTGCTCTTCATTCTCACTTACTCACTTATCAGGTATCTAGTTTTCCCTTCATTCTAGGCTATATTGTCTAGATAAAGATTACAGGTTTGTGCTTATGTTTTTGGCCCCTGAGATGGAAATAAGTTCTATAATTCAATAAAACAACAAATGCATGCATACATTCATACAGAAACAATTAATATTAGCGGTTGAATACAATAAACGATAGTAGACAAAGTTTGATTAATTTGTGAAGGTGATAGTTAAATCAATTCAAACAGTTTCAACAGGAAAATTATGCGCGTGTACTACTAACTATATCAGTTATATAGCAAATACAATTAACGATCTGCAAATAGCAATGAGTCAGTGACTGTCATGGTTGCTACGGATTCCTTTGTTCAGGTTAACGAGTAATCAAGGAACTGTTCGAGGAGATCCAGCGTACGAAAAATTTGTTGGATTAAAAGTCTCCAATCAAATCACATCAATGAAAGTAAAATTAAATAATAAATCAAATACACAAGAAACAACAATTTAACGTGATTCGATCTAATCAATTTATGTCAACGGATGAAAAACAAGATTCATTAGTTGTAAAGAATTACAAACATACATCAAATCATCAATCTCACTCAATAATTAATACTCATAAGATACTCTCAATCTACTCTAATCCTATGAAATATTTTCAACTTAAACAAACACAACACAACACAAGCCCTTGTACACCCTTTCAACATAACCAAACACATACCCATATACTCCTATACATCATATCTATGTGAACCCTCTTAGTCTCCTCTAGTCCACTCACAAACAAACATACATACCCATAAAACGTAGAGTCCCAATAATCATATAAGATGTCTATCTCATAAAATCTTACAACTCTCTTACATCTTTTTCTCATACCTAACCCTGTAAAGACTTTACATATTTATAACCATACAAACTTGCTCATTAAAAATTTCTCTCCTCTTAGAATTCTTTTCCTATAAGTTAAACTTGCCTATTAAGAATTCATTTCTTTTTAAAATTCTTCTCTTGCAAGTTAAATTTACTTATTAAGAATCTATTTTTTCTTAAAATTTTTTTTTTACAAGTCTTCTTGTCTATCATGTAATATTTGACAAATTCCAAATAAATTTCTAACAAATATCAAATAAATTTCTTATGAAATTTGAGTCATTATTTTCAACAGAATTGTATCCAATTTTTCAGGGAGTGAAGCTTGGCCATTCAGATATGAGATAACTTGCGACATATTTGGCATTATGTGGGCAAAATAATCCAACCTTTAGTACTAGCTCAACTTCTCCGACCTCAAAATCCTTGTCAAGTTCAGGGTCTGCTGTTTTCAGGATATCTCCTTCATTCCAATATTTGAACACCCAATCCACAAGATGCACCTCTTCAGCTGAGGCTCGTGGCATGACTGGCCTTCTACCACAAACAACCTCCAGGCAAAATGCCCCAAATGCATAAACATCAGGCAAAATGCCTTGTAATCATTATGGTCAACTCTCTTTCTTTCTCCTCCCTCTTTCGTGTTCAAATGGTTGACAAAGTTGTCCTCAATGAACTTGCAGTCCTTTTCAGAAGCTTGAGCTGAAATCCACCAACGAAGGAAGGTCTGGATTCAGTTTTTCATCATATGAATTGCAGTAAATAAGAATGTAGGCTGTTGATTCCAATATATATCAGGGTAAACTTGATTTCTCAAATAGATGTGAACTTCGTGATTTACATTTTCATATGTTATTTTGTCACTCTACTTTTTTTTTTTGGATGAGTCCTGGCAGATGTTCACCTGCTCTGATTAACTAGTTGGCTGTGCAGTTACTGCGGCCTCATGATCAACTGGGTTGAGTTGAAACGTGGCCCCATGAACAACTGGCAAACCAAACGTGAAGTGAGACCCACATTGCCAAACACAAACTGCTTGATTAAAAAAGAAGTACAGTGATTCTTTCCCAATGTTTAAGGGCTGTTCATTTATGAAACGAGCTCTACCATCCTCGTGCGCTCACGCAATTGGTTACTGCACAGTAAAAAAAAAATCCCTCCAGCATTTACCCCTCTTCATGAGGGACGTCTCCTCCCTTTTATGTCTTCCCCTCTCTCCCCATTTCTCCATCCAACTACCCCACGAGCCCCTGGAAAAAGACTATAACTGCCCCAAAGCCCCTTAGCCCTTTCTGGCTCAATTGTTTATGTTGCTTTCCCTTTTTATTTTGTACCAAAATATCCAAGGAGGGTGACTATCCATCTCCCTAGTGGCATTGTCATTGAATAATTATAAACTTACGTACCTTTATATATGATTTCTTTGTGAAGAGCAACAAAAGCAATGGAGAATTTGCTTTGTGAAGAGGTATGGCTTTCGAGTCCTGGAACTCCTGACATTAGCCATGAACGTGAACATTGCACTTTGAAGGGCTATGCTGATTCATTTTACACGACAAAGGAAGATTCTGAGCAGGCTCTTGCACTATGCCTGGAGAAAGAGTTCAGTTACATGCCTGAACCTGGATATATAGATTGTCTCCAATCAAATAATTTGGTGTTTCTTAGGTTTAGAGTGGTTCAGTGGCTTATTAAGGTTAAGTTTCTTTCCTCATCAAAATCCTCACGCTTTCCCCTAGCTAACTGTTAAGTTGAAATGGTTTTATAATAAATCTCAATCTGCACTTTTCTCTCATTTTATGTTTTTCAGACTTGTACTCGGTTAAACCTCTCGATTGGAACCGTGTTCAATGCGGCAAACTACCTAGATCGTTTCCTGTCTCTTAGTCAGTGCCATGTAAGGAGGGGGTTTTTCTTCTTCTATTACTTGCCTTCTTTCCCTTAACTTCGAAGCAACATTTTGTGGTTTAAACATTAAATTAACTACTTTTGTACGTAACATTCTAGGGATGGAAACATTGGATGGTTGAGTTACTATCCATAGCATGTTTATCCATTGCCTCCAAGTTCAATGAAACCTGCCTTCCTTCCTTGGATGAACTCCAGGTGATTAATCAATATTGTTTTATGATGGCACTAATCAGTATTTTTTTTATGAAAATGTTGATGTTAAACAGTTGGCCGTTAATGTTTTGGTTGAAGATGGAGAACTTGGAGCATTCTTTTCGATCAAGCACAATCCAACAGATGGAACTGATGCTGTTACAGGCTTTAAAATGGCGTATCAGTTCTACAACAACCTATTCCTATATAGAGCTGATTACATCAAATATTTTCTATCTCAAATGTCACCTTCAGAAGGAGTTAATCAACCAAGTTAATAAAACCCTTCTCAAAGCTATATTGGGTACAATTTGGATTCCCTTTTCTCTTTGATTTTTAATTTCCCAACTGGACAATGCATTTGATTATATCGTTCAACAATACAGATGGAAATTAAAATAAATCTAGTGAATTTTTGTTGTTGTAATGTAATGACCATACTGAAAATTAAAGTAAAATGGTGCAGATTTCAAGTTTCTGCATTATCCACCCAGCGTTGTTGCAATATCTGCTCTTTGTTGTAGTCTAGAAGAGTTAAATATTCCGTCATCCTATAATGTTCATCTCACCAATATCATGAATCTCATAAACCAAAATCACGAGGTAAAAGATATTAAAATCCCAGTTTTTCTTATCTTGAAATTATATATATTTCTAGTTTACTGTTCCATTGATATAACTAAAATATTCCAAGTCTGCAGGATGATATTAGCAAGTGTCGTAGGATAATGAAACCATGGTTGGTTGATCCATTCTACAGCTTCAAAGTTTCTGAGAACTCCCACTACAACCCTTCAAGTCCTGTGACTGTTCTGTTGATGGAGCGGATTGACATCAATGATTGCCAAGTCGATCTCTCACTCTTCAGGATGCCAAGTTCAAATGTCAACATTCCTGAATCAAGTGGGACTAAAAGGAAGAGATCTGAAGAAGAGTAGATCCTAGAAACGGTCATAATGTGGTCGTAGAATATGTTATACTTATCATTTTCACTCGGTTCATTCATTTAATCTTGTTACAACTTTTAATATCACGTAAAAAATTTATGTGATGGATAGTTGTGATTGGAAGAGTGAAAATGATGAATAGATATATTTATAATATGCCATTATCATCTATAACAAAGTTGGTGTGCAAACTCTAATTTGTTAATTAAATCATGCAAGAACTAATAACACAGTGCTGAAAGTTCGTCTCAAGACACAAATTTTCAACTTGTAAAGCTTAATTATAAAGCTTTTCTTCAATGCATGATCTCATAGATTGTAGTAATTGATAAGATAGATATCCTGATCAATAGCTACCATTTTTTCTTCTCCATTGAATTATAGCAATATTCCATATTTCTATTGGTGAAATTATGAGATTGGTTCTTGTATTTATGCAAAAATAAGAAACTAATATTTATATTTTTGAGACATAAAATGTCAATTTAAAATATAATAGAATTATAAAATCATCATCAAGTTAATTGAAAAAATCATACTATATTTTTCTGAGAAAAAAAATAAGATTATTTCAAATTGTATTTTAGGGAAATAAAATCCTTTCCATGTAGAGCATCATCCCACGAATAATTTATTCGAACCGCAATGAACTGTCTGCTTGAAAACCGAATGTAACCGAAGCCCGACACCATAACCACATGCTCTTCTTGTGGGGGGACCCACTGGCTTTTGAGGTTGAAGTAGGATAAAGCACAGACAGCCAGACAGCCACGCGATTCGCCTTGGCTTTGGTGGCAGACCGAAAGCAATGGCTACTTCTGCACTCATTTCCTCATCATTTCTTCTTCCCACTAACCGCTTAACAATTCAACGCCAAAACCAGCATCATCACACGACTAGCTTCAGGAACCGAGCACCCTTCAAGGTCCAAGCTGCCAAGCTTCCTGCTGGGGTCCGTTCTTGGTTTGGGTTTTCTTCCATTTCTTTTCATGGGTTCTTTTTATTTCCAAATAATGCTGGGTTTTTGTTCATAAGAAAATTTGTTTCCCAAAAATAAACAAATTTTCAGGTCGAAGTGCCAAAAGTAGAGCCTAAGTTCAATGCACCTTTTCTTGGATTTACAAGGACAGCTGAAATATGGAATTCCAGGGCCTGCATGATTGGCTTAATTGGTATTTTCATTGTAGAACTGGTAAGTTTTGTATCATTTTGTCTCGGTCATTGGCAATAGAGTAAAGGGTTACACATATAAGATAACTGTTGCCTTCGTCCTTTGACGTGCTTCGCATGGTACAATTACTGAAGATTTCAAGGAAGCTTACGGCAGTTTGGGGCTTTTGAATTATGGTAATTGTGCCTAATTGTGTGGGCTTTTGGGTTTTGCAGATACTAAACAAGGGAATTCTTCAGACTATTGGGGTAGATGTTGGTAAAGGTCTTGATCTTCCTCTATAACGATTCAGGCCAAGAAGACAAGTTAGCTCAATCTAAATGGCGCTTTCTTTTTTATTTGGAACAAGAACACACTATTTTGTAGTGAAAAATGAAAATATTGTACTCCATAACTTAACTCAGTTACACTTTGACGATTATATGAAGTATTTCATTACACTTTGACGATCATATAAGTATTTCATTTTCCTCCTGTTCAACCTCGAACAACATGGAATTCGTAATATGATGCCCCCAAATGACATTGAAAATATAAACTGATCTCAGGCTAGATCAATGAGGCTAAACTACTCCGTCTCACCAACTCTGAGACGGACGAGGTCTGTACAATCTATTTTTTTAAATTATAAAACTGTCAACAATGTTACATACCCTGCAGCACAGGGTCTCTCGCATTAGATTTAGGTACAGCCGTCTACAGATGCTTGTTTTGCACACTGCATCATCTACAATCTGCTGAATAGAACTTATTGCCAAGGAAGGATTTCCTAACAAATTAACCTAACCAGATGAAGAAATGGCAGGATGATTTAACTTCCTTTCGCAGTATGTGGAGGAGGTGAATTATTGTTTCAGAGGCTCAGAGAAAATTATCATATTTCTTTTTCGATGCATAAACAAAGCATATTCAACTGCCATAATCAAACAAGAACAAAATGATCTACAGCACTCGGCCAATTCGAGCATCTATAACTGGCACCTTATTAGAAGGCACTGAGAAGTCCAATGCATCGGCTAGTGACATACGACTGTTACTCCATGCAGCTTCTGCCCATGTTTTCATTTTCTCTCCTTCAGTCTTCCTGTTCTGTTGAACACAAAGTACTTCTGCATACCCACCTGCACAAATAAACGACCAGATTATTGCAGTGCACTATGAACAGATACATGCTCAGAGCCCCTTGAAATTGAATATACACATCTTGTTGACATTGCAGAATGCTCAACTTATATCATATTTGCTGCTTTATTTGTGTTAAATGTTAGCCACATCACACCAAAGTTAAGTAGGGCATATCATGCTCAGATTATTATCTCTCCAAATTAAAGAAAAGATGTAACACATTTGACTATACCTCTTGCAAGGGCTAAAATATCCCTTCTATCAGGTTTTGTCTCTGCACCTAAGAAATTAAAAGGTGAAATAGTAATTCACTTGCTTAAACATCTGGCAAGAGAAATATTTTAATATTCCAAACCTTTAGACTCCAATGGTGGAGCTTTCAGAAACTCTATTGCCCTTCTGTAAAGTCCCTGCCGGTCACAAAGTATCAAAACCATTACACCACATAAGTCCTTAGATAGATTAAAAGAATGGCTACTATAACTCATGCAAAGTGCATATTATTATGCTCATTTCAACCCAAATTTTAATCCTAAATAAGCTAGGATTACCTATATGACCTTCTTGGCTTCTTCTGTTTCACCTGGTCTGTGGCAATCTTGCTAAGATGCAAGATAAATATACATGCAAACTCACAGCATTCATACATCAAAAGGCAGGTGATTAAAAAGAGATTAATAATCTTTCAGAAAATAGGGTGCATTACATTTACAAATTATCATTTTCTAATGCTCAAACTTCTCAAATCAGAATGCATTCTAAATTTTTCTTCTTTCACACTGGATTACAGATCCAGTCCCTCATGCAACCTCTTTCCTCCCCTCTTTTACAATTTTCCCATAGAAAATTAAAAAAAAAACAAAAAAAAAGGAAGGTAAGGAGATATGTGTCCTACAAATGAACAAATCATGCAAAACTTCAGAAACCAGATCAATAAATGCAGGCTAATGCAGCAGAGCCAGAATTAAATACACAAGTTGGAAGTTCTGACCTCTTGAATTAGAAGAGAGCTTGAACGCTCTTGTCTTGCTTTGTTTCGATACATGAGAGCTATACAGGTTAAGACAACACCAACCTTGGGATGATTAGAGCCTGCATGAAGTCAATAAATCACAAGGAAAATAATAACGTAATAAGCAAGCAGAATCAGAAGAACACTAGAATTTGAGTACATTAACATAAATCCAAAGTTAGGCACCAAAGTATTCTTCTGTTTTAGTTAGTGCCTTTGTCAATATCTCCTCTGCAGCACCAAATTTCCTGTATAACAGGTTGTTTTAGACATTGATAAGAAAGAGGTGTTGGAACAGATTAGGAAACAAAGATATAAACAAGTGACCATAAAATCACCCCATGTGTGACTCAAGTTGCCCCAAGGCGAAGGTTGCAGCAACTAAAACTTCATCTGAAGCCATATTGCAAACTGCTAATGCATTTATGTCACCAAAATCTTCATTTTTAGGCAACCCTTCAATAATCTTTTGGTATAATTCTTTGGACAGAGAAAAGTTTTGTGTAGCATGCAGAAATTCTCCATATGACAAAGCAACACTGCCTGCATTGCCCAACAGCAATTATTATGAAAGAGACTCTACTATAGCCAATTAGCAACTGATAAACTGAAGGACCTCACCATTCCAATCATTATTATCTTGGAGACCTTTAAAAAATGATTCGGCTGCAAAGATGCAGATCACATTCAATACTTACACAAATCAAGGAGACAACAAAACAATGAACCAAAATTTGGACAAGGTCTTTAGCTTAACCTGACTCGAGGTTACCACTGACAAGCTCAACTAGCCCCTTCACTGCTTTGGCACGAGCAACCACAGAGTCTATGCTCCCACCATTACTTAAATCATCTTTATCCAAAAGTTCTAAGCATTTTTCTGAGAGCACTGATGAAGTATCATCCTATATAGGGAGAAGAACCATCTCCAGGTAAATCAAAATCATATATGCTACAAGCCATTAGTTTAAACTAAAAAATAATGATCAACGGCTTCACTTACCTGGCCCAACTGCAAATAGAGACCAACAAGAGCTTCCATAGCAGCAACTATACCAAATACCAAATTTAGTGAACAACCTTTTCGGCAATGGAATTCCAAAGAAGAAATAAACTGAAAAACAATATTGAAATAGTCAAATTTGACCTCTAACACCCAAGGAAGATCGCTTTAAATCCTGAACTCTATGGAGCTTTTCAATTGCTTCTTCAAAACTTCCTCTAAAAGCAGAATCATCATCAGTTCCCAGTCAGAAAAAATTATTTTAAAAGAAAGAAAATAAAGAAGTAAACAAAAGAACTACCTTTCATACAACAAAGTAGACATTGCAAGTAACACCGTTCCAACAGAATTTTGAGCAAATTGACCTTCAGTTTCACTTGCCTGAGTAGAAAGACACTGCTCCAATATCAGCATGCCTTGAGCATATGATGCATCTACAAAACCCAATCACTCAAAATTTAAAAATAAAGCTTCAATTTTGAGCAAAGAACAATAGAAAAAATAGAAGCTTTAAACTGATATCCGTTGAAATTGGAACTTTAGATAAATGGGATGATTGTATAAACCTGATTTCTGGGATCTGGCATGTGATAGGGCGTAATTGATCATCTGAACAGCAACTGGGTTGGCACTAGGACCTTTCATTCCATCGTGGAGGAATCTCAACGGCTGTGATGAAGTTCTGGCAATGTGTCCCACTCGGGAGGTCCGAGACAAGGCAATGGCCGATCTTGATAGCTTAACTGTGGCTTGAATCATCGCCGCTGATTAATGTTCTTTGTTGCTAAAACCCTAATTAAAATATCCAAAGGGGTTTAGGAGGTTTTTAGAAATCTGATGAAGCAGGAGTTTTAATCACCTAATAACTGAGTTTCTTACACGTGTAACGTGTACTTATCTAAACGACACCGTTTCTTCTCTTGTTTTTATCTTTTTTGAAATATTTTTCACTTCATTAAAAATTTAAAAAAAAAATACTAAAAATAGAATTGATATCAATTCAAAGATTTTTTTTTTAAATTTATAATCTATCCTTAATCCTAATTTCTTTATTTCAAAAAAAATATTATATACATAAATTTTATCAAACTCATAATTTTAAAATATTAATTGATTTAAAAAATAATCAACAATACAAACTATATCTATAAAGTCATAAAAGTTGCTCCCCCCCCCCCCTCCGACAATACAACACAGCCTGTTATCTTTTTTTGATTATTTAAATCAATTTTTTATTAATCACAAACAAGCTTGGCTATTTCGGTATCACATGATATCCTTTGAGACCAAAGTGAAAAAAGATCTTAAGCCTCATGACTAAGAAACTAACAGGCATAATCATATCTCCTGAATTCCCTTTCACTTTTCTCTTTAATTGTAGTTATTGCAATTTTCTAGGTATCTCTTAGCAGTATCTGAATTTGGAATAGTTTTAAACTTAGTTGTTTTAGTTTCAAATCACATATATTATATTCTTAATACAAAATTTTAATATATATTTTTGGAAGGAAAAAACAAACCCCTGATTTGAAGCTATGGATATATGCCATATTATCATCACAGTAAAAAGTGAAAAGAGAGTTGAAAAAGAAAGCAAAAGCCACCTAGTGATGCAACTGTTGAGATTTTCTGTTCTTATTTACCGTTCAAGTTAAGCTGTCCTTGTGGAGCTGATATTTAAGCTTCACTCTATGGCAGCTCAGTACAATAGGGCAACTTCTCCTTAATCCAATTCAGAAACTTGAGACAATGCCAACTTCTTCAATCTTCTTTTCTCTCTTCGTTTATCTGTTAGCATTTTCCTCGATTGCAGGTACATGGTAGAATATTGTTTGCTTGTTCTTGTGTGTAAATTTAACAATTTTTGTTAAGGGTTTGGTTTTTTTTCCCCTCGCAGATGGGGAGCAAGTCATACTGGTGAACAACTGCAAGGAAAGCATTTGGCCTGGGATACTTGGCAATGCAGGTCAGTCCACTCCTAAAAATGGCGGCTTCCATCTTGGTAGCGGCAAAGAGGTAGTTCTTGACATGCCCAAGAAGTGGTCAGGGAGGATATGGGGCAGGCAAGGTTGTAATTTTGACGGTAATGGGAAGGGTTCTTGTGATACAGGTGACTGTTCTGGAATGCTTCAGTGCCAAGGAACGGCAGGTGCACCCCCTGCAACTGTGATAGAAATGACTCTTGGGTCATCTTCTTCACCATTGCATTTCTATGACGTTAGTTTGGTTGATGGCTTTAATTTACCGGTTTCGATGAAACCAGTTGGTGGCGGAATTGGTTGTGGACTTGCATCATGTGAAGTTGATATGAATGTTTGCTGCCCATCAGCGTTGGAAGTGAAGAAAGGAGCCAAGGTAGTGGGATGTAAGAGTGCCTGCTTGGCCATGCAATCAGCTAAATATTGTTGCACAGGGGAGTATGCTAATCCAAAGACCTGCAAGCCAACGCTTTTTGCACATCTCTTCAAGGCTATCTGTCCAAAGGCCTACAGCTATGCTTTTGATGACTCTAGCAGCCTCAACAAATGCAGGGCTTCACGTTATGTTATCACTTTCTGCCCTCCTAAATGATCAATAGCAATAAAAAGTCAATGTTGGTGCCATGACAGTGTTAAAAAATAAATGCCAACACCAACAGATAACAGAGGGATCAGTCAATTTTTTCCCTTTCTCTATATATGATAGCTGTTACGATTATGAAGATATGTCAGTAATGAAATGGATGGAAAATTGTCCTTTCTCTTTATATCTTAGCTAATTCCAAACTCTTGTTCCGAGTATCCAATTACTCCCCTAATGATTGAGCAACAACCAGACAAAGAAGAATGTTATATTTAATGTGCTACAGATGTTTATTTTGGCAAACACAATAGAAAAACAAACTTGTTTACATCTACGTAAACATTTTTTCAAGAAGCCAGTGGAGAAGATCATATATTAGATTTAAAATTTATGATACAGTAAGCAAAAAACAGAAAACAGACGAAAATACAATTCTAGGTGAAAAATAGAGGAAAACAAACAAATTCTATTGCCTATATTATTAGGCCTGCCCTTCAGCTTCAGCTTCTTGGCTTGTGGTACCTTGAATATTGGCAGCATCAGTTGGAGCCTGTAGTGCCTGCTCTTAATAATAGAGGAGTCTCTTGCTTTTTTGTACTGGACTTGGAATCAACAGTGTGATTTGCAGCCCAACCTCTGAGAGGAGGTTCAAAATGCTTGCTGGCAACATCAGGTGGACGTGCATCTTCACCAGGAAGAGCAAGAAGTCCCTTCTCTCTGAGAGAAGAAGGCTCCTTAGCATGTACTCCAAAGGGAGTCCACAAGTTGCCTCTCTTCCTCCGCAGCCCCAAGATCATCAGGAGACATCAAGCTAATGCCTTTAATTCGTTCTTCAAGAAGTTACTTCAGCTTCTCATCTTCTTCACCTAATCCACCATTGTTCCCACCTGTCTTGTCCTGAGCAAGCTCAAGAAGGCCGCGGAGAGCAGCTTCTCTTACTTCTGCATCCTCACTTGATGCAAGATGCAACATTATGCAGGGAAACCCCAGCTCAATTGCAACACTGCAATCTGAACTATTTTCATGCAGTAGGTAATGAATCAAGTTTAAGGCTTTCCTGGAAGAAAAAAAATAACAAAATGAGAAAACCAAAATTAAAACTAACTAGAAAGAAAAAACCTATTACCAACATTTAACTCTAGGAAACTATTTGACGATCCAAATTCTATTTATTTTTACTTCGGATACATCTTATACTGAAAACTAAAACCTATTATCAACAAAAAGAATATTCATAACTGAAAAGAGTTGATCTAAGATTACCTTTGGAATCCTACACTCTCAATTCCCAAAGCATCTCTCAAGGCAGCGTAACCATTTGCAAGTCGAAATGCTGCAATACCAGGTTTATTATGGCGGATTAAAGCTGAAAAACAACGGAAAAAAGATTTCATGTCAAAATACTTTCAAGATTCTGTAGGAGCATGTTCAATTGAATTTATTGGTGTTAATAACCATAAGATATATTCTAAAACAAAAATTGTACTCACAAGATATTGCACCAAGTGCTTTGGTTTGAACAGTTACATCAGGATCAGAGGTAAAATTAGAAAGGAGAGGCTCTAAGCCATTTGCTTCCATAACCATCTGTTGACTCCGAGGATTATTCTGTACAATAGATGATACAACTTCTGCTGCTTTTGCTCGAATGTTGGCATGCGAATTCTTCAGATAACCAAGGAGAGGGACCAAACCACCAATCGAATGTAGATCTGCCACAAATGCATACAGACCGTGTAAAAATGTTTTTTCTGAAAAAAGATGAAAACGAAGAGGCCAGAGATCAACTGAAAAGCATGAAAGGCTAAATAATGGGGAACCATTTTTCATTTAGTCATTTCAAAAAAAAAAGAAAACTTATTCTTGCAAGAACAGTAACAGGGCCAGAGAAAGAAAACGAATATATTGCCAATTCCATCATTGGTAGCATCCTGTAGATTAATTTATCACATAAAACGCAAAAAGATTCCCCTTGTTTTAAGCAGCCAAAAACTATAGCTAACACGACAATTATTAGAGATATAATGCATCAAGTTAAGCATTCCATGAACAGAAAAGACTTACCATTTGCCATGTCAATAGACTCAACGTGCTCTTGTAACTCATTCAACATATCTGCCACCATCAAATAAGCATGTAAAACAAAGCTAACCTAAAACCCAGAAACGAAAAGAGAGCTTGAAACAACTTGGCGATTTTGCAACAGTACCTTCAATATCAGCAGCAGTAACTCCTTGAGCTTCCAAGACTAGCTCTGGAGTTAGCATCACCAAAGTTATCTCTTTCATTCGCTTAATCACATCAACGCTCTGCGATTGCATTGCTTCCATAAACCATCTTCTATCCTCCTCACTGTACCAACAACAAAAACCCACTTAATAATCAATCGAAAATGGGCAAAGAAGGGTCATTCAAGAAAAAAAATGATGGGTTACCTCAAATTACGAGTGGGTCGAGTTCCATCAGAGTTAGCAATGCTCCACTTCAGCAATCCATCCCAGTTGGGTCCGTCTTCAGCCATAGTTTTTGTGATAAGTTAAATCACTTCCTTCGTTTTTCTTGCTGATGAATTCGACAGTGATACTAATACAAGATAATTTGAGAACCGTTCAGGGTCTCTCTTAATTGAGGGTTTTAGCAAGAACTCCGAACGATTCGAGATTATTCAGTTTAGAGCGACAGTCGTTTGCTGATTTCTCGACTGAATTGACCCTTCTGACCTAAGCTGATTATTTTGATTGAATCTACCATCGGCCCAAACTAATTATATGTCGGTTTGGGATTATATAATTTTACAATTTGTGTATCTATTGTGTAGAATATTAAAAATTTATATATTTATATTATATTTTATATAAACATTAAAATTTATAATTTATATTAGTACGAAATTATGAATTATATTTTTTTTTATTTTATTAAATTTATTTATAGTTTTTATTAAAACTTATAGTTATATTTTTTTCATATTTTTTATTTATACCACTTATATGTTATATTATCATATTATATTAGAAATTATCAAATAAGTTTAAAGACTCAAAATTTTAACTCTTTTTTAATATAAATTAATTTATTATCTAATAAATAAATAAATTTAGGATAAAATAATTTAGATTAAGAAAGAAAGAGATTTAAAGTTATAGGATGACTTGTTTGAAAAATTGGGTACTGTATGCATTTTATTTTTTTTATTTAAAATTATTGAAATTTAATTATTAATTATTGAAATTGAAAATTTGACATACTTAAAAATTATACATTTCATATCATATCGAATTATTTGTGCACAAATTAATAACCCAAAACAAAATTATGCAAACATTTTTTTAATAATATAAATATGTGAATTACAATTAAATAGTAATTTTCAATAAATATGACATAATTATTATATAAAGTGAAAAAATCATGAACAAAAGCAAATAAAAATACTAATGAACCAATATAAAGATGAACTAACCTAAACATAATGATTGCTACTATAACATTTTTACCAAGCATAATATTTTCCATTACTCAACCCAATGGTAACTATAACCAATATGGCCACCTTTTCACTTGCGGTTAAATATCTAGCTTTTCCTTTTCTCAATCTTTCCGATTTTTTTTTTTCAATGTTAATGAAAAAGGATATAGTAAGCAAATATTGGAGCAATGATTTTTCCTTGACCATGATTAAATTATAAGAAATTAAGAATAAGAGCAGGCAAAGTGACATGAAAACAATCTAGTCGTTAGTCACATAACAATGTCTAGTAATTTCTCAACCTTATCATCAATCCAATGACAAAAACTATAATTATGTCTCATGTTTAATAATAATAATAATAATAGTTTATCAATCCAATCATCCATGGCAAATTAATTTTTCAGTGCTTTTGGATTGATGTCCATGCCTTGACGATGCACATTTAAGCCTTTTAACTTATTATTGTTAATCTAAATCTATAAATACTATATATATTTGATATAATTAAGTTAATTCGATAATTTTAAAAATATAATATAATATAAATATAAATATATATTATTAAAAATTTTAATAAAGATTATATATAAATTTAATAAAATTTAAAATATATTTTATATTGTACGTATAAATATAAATAATAATATAATAATTTTTATATTTTATATATATTTAATATAAAATTAATATTATATAAATACATAAATTATTATATTTAATATTAAGTTTATTATTTCAATAAATACAAAAATCAATTAAGTTTTAGGATTGGATTTATTATTTGCAAAGAAAAGGCTATAAAATAAAGGAACAAAAAAGGAAAAAGTGATTAGACACATGACCGCTGACCAACAAGTTGAGAGGCTCTAGGCATCTAATCTATGATCCGGTTCGCATCATTTGGCAAAAAATTCCTGAACCGGTGGACCCTGTCTCCCCCTGGCGTGGCCCCCACCATCCAAATTCCAACGCTTTCTCTTTAATTTTCACTAACGCCGTTAACTGAACAACGCATCAAGCAGCTAAATTCCGTTAAGTACTCCCTCTTAAAAATAATTAAAAGCGTATAATCCACGTTTAATTAAACACCACGCGCTTACACCGTTGAGTCTTTGTGCCTCGACTTCCCCATTTTATCATTTCTCTTACTCTTCCTCTCTTGGCCTCTCTCTCTCTCTCTCTCTTCCTCTCTGAAATTCTAGGGTTTTTAATTTTCTCCGATTTCTCAAATTTCTTAGTTTTAATTTCTTCAAGTCTTTTAGTGTTTCTTTCGATGGAATCGATTAGATCTCCATATTGGTGCTACAGATGCAACCGGTTTATCCGGGTCCGATCCCATCAAGATTCTGTCCACTGCCCCGATTGCGGCGGAGGATTCATCGAAGAAATCGAAACGCCGTCTCGATCTCCCGTCCACCATCGTTTCCCCGCCTCCTCCATGTACTCCGACGCACCCAGCCCAGCTCTCAGTCCCAGCCCACCTGACACTCCTCGTTTCTTCCGAGCTCGACGAAACGCTGGCGATCGGTCCCCTTTCAATCCCGTCGTCGTCCTCCGTGGTCCCACACCGGAAACCGACGACGTAGTTCCCGATAGAGGGAACAATAATTTCGAACTTTATTACGATGATGGGTCCGGGTCGGGTCTTCGACCCTTACCTGCTAGCGTGTCGGAGTTTTTAATGGGTTCGGGTTTTGATCGGCTTCTTGATCAGTTATCTCAGTTAGAAGTGAACGGAATTGGCCGTTTCGAGCATCCGCCCGCTTCAAAGGCGGCGATTGAATCAATGCCAGTGATTAAGATCGTTGGAAGCCATGTGAGCACAGAATCTCACTGTGCAGTTTGTAAAGAGCCTTTCGAGCTCGATTCCGAAGCTCGGGAAATGCCTTGTAAGCATATTTACCATTCGGATTGTATTTTACCTTGGCTTTCGATTCGAAACTCTTGTCCAGTTTGCCGCCATGAATTGCCAACGGAAAATAACGGAAACAATATAGGGGAAAATGAGGCGGTTAGAGACGAAGAAGCTGTGGGATTAACGATATGGAGGTTACCGGGAGGTGGGTTTGCGGTGGGGAGGTTTGCCGGAGGAAGGAGAGCAGCGGAGAGGGAGTTTCCGGTAGTGTTTACGGAGATGGATGGTGGGTTTAATAATGCGGGTGCTCCTAGAAGGATATCGTGGGCGCCTAGTGGGAGAAGGTCACAAGAGAGTAGAGGATTGGGGCGGGTTTTTCGGAATTTTGTTTCGTTCTTTGGGAGGTTTAGAAGTTCACCTCGTTCAGGTGCTGATTCTGGGTTTATTAGAAGTAGTAGATCGAGTTCAGTGTTTGGTAGGTCATCTAGAACGGACAGTAGCTGGGATTTCGAGGATTGAATGTTGGTTGAATGTATTTTTTGTCCATTTTTAGGGTAACCTTTTTTTTTCTTATAATCTGATACTGTAATGTTGCAGTTTTCCTTAAGGAAGGGAATGTCTGTAGATTGTATGATTTTACTTTGATGTAAATAACAACACTTTGGTGAAGGATTGAAGAATTACTCGAGTTTAGTTTCTGTCGAAAGAGAAAGAGGCTTTGATGAGTCGTTATGTGCATCAATGAGGCAGAAGAAGTGGATGAAGGATAAAGTTTTGTGGTTAGCACGATCCTTTAGTGGTTGCTGAGGTACTAATCCTCACATATAAATTGATGTTAGTCCTTAAAATTTTCAATTTGTATGTTTTGTCATGATAATTTATTTTTTTTATTTCTTTCTTATGTGTAATTCGTTATCAGGAATTATGTTGTTTATTTGCAGTTCTTAGTACAAATTATTGAGTTGTTCATGTTGATTTTTCTGGTTTACTTTGCTGGTTTGGGGTTATTACTTATCCATGTGATGGATTCAATAAATTTTAAGTTTTCAATCAATTATTCATTATTGAGCATAAATGTGATATTGCACCAATGAAGCATTGATCATTAATGTAGGTTTGGATAGAGACATATGTACAAGTCAAATGGATTGCTTGGTTGGATTGCTTGGGTAATACCTTTACCATATTAAACCGTTATCAGTCACACTGATGCAAGGGGGGGGGGGGGGGGGTGTCCTACTGCCTTTTGTTCTCCTTTATTTCGTTCTTTCAACGTGAAGGCCTTAATTAGTGAAATTAATTGTTATCTTGAAGAACACGTGCCTTAGAAGTTTGGTTTTAAAATTTTTGGTTAGATAGGGCTGCTTCTGAATCAGATAGTACGCATTTCTTTTTTCCCTATAAATTTGTGCAAGTTTTGTTTTTCTTCCAAAGAGACATTTACTTCTTCAGTTGATGTGAGAGTTTGAAATGATGGAAATCAATAGTCATATGATGCATGGTATTTTATCTCACAGAGGTTATCGTAGAGAAAAGCAACCAAAAGCTGCAATCAAGAACCTCAGCATTTTACAAAATTTAGAAAGCAGATATCCTAAATACAAATAGAACATGGTAGAACGTTTTGTGGAGCATATATTGTACCATGAATTTCCTGTACTTTTCAGTTACAGTTGTTCTAATATTAATTTATCATTTACATCTTCATTTCTTTTATATGCTTTGCATGTCATGAATACAATGTTTTTCTTTGATTTCCTAGTATTCTCAAATTAGAAGGCCAGGTAAAGTGTCTTTATGATTACTTTTTTATTCTCTATCTCTCTCTCATGGACTGGGTTCTTCTGTCTAGAAAAATTGTGATGTAAAGTTTTTGAAAATTTGATTGATAGTTTATCCATCAAATATCTATATAAAGAATCCTTGAACAGTTCTTCACTGTAGCTTGCGGTTTGGATGTCATTTAGGATCAATGTTGTCAACACTTTCTTGAACATCATTGGTGAAATTGTGTTGATTACTTTATCTGTTCTTGTTAGTTTGAAATATTCGACAGCAGCACCCATACTTAGAATCTAATCCATTTCAACATGTTTGCGGCTTTGTGTGTACTGATGTACGGAATCACATGCTAACAGTTGGTGTAGTTGGCACTCTGGTATACTGCTGTGTTAATTGTTACCAAGGTTTGTTATGAAAACGTGGCCTGTGATGTGAAGGTGAATTTGAGCTTTTGAATTGTTTGTATATCTATCGGGAATGGCATCGCCCGTGCAATATGGATGTTAATATCTAGAAGTTAACCTTTGTCAAGTTTCCGCCTTACTTGCATAAGGTAGTGTGAGGTATTTGCAACCGAAGTGCCTATTTCGGATTTACCTATTGCAGATTGTGAGTTGATTTACTCGAAAGTTGTCAAGAAAATGCCTGATTGCGAGAGGTTAGGCTGCAAAATAACGGCTCTTGGTCCTGGATTCCTTGCCTGTTAGAAAGGGGGTAAAATTGGGCATCAAAAACGAATAAATCTTTGGTGGGGACCATCCCTATCCAGGAAACCACAAGAATCTTGAGTTCTGACGTGGCCTTATCCACTAGTTAGCAACCAAATCCATTGATACATGCTAGATACAACCCCGGCGCAGAACCTGCAATGTGTCACTTCTAGCATCCACAATATAAACCCTCGTTCTTATTTCTCCAAGCCGATATAAGGACACCTTAGGATGCTTCTCCCCTTACTTCCGCGGTTACAGTAGGAATTGAACCTGTTAGCAATGGCATCCGTTGCATCTTTCCAGTCTTTATATGCAACAAGTCTGAAACAATCGCCCGTGTCAAGGAGTCATTCTCTCTCTTCCCGTTATGCTGTGGCAGCAGCACCCCTGAGGTCAACAGTTTTATCCAGGACCAAGAGCCAGAAGAACCAAAAGAGATCTCTGACAGTGGTTGCAGCAGTTGGAGATGTATCACCTGATAGTACGACCTATCTAATTGCTGGCGCAGCCGTTGTTGCTCTGGTGGGAACAGCCTTCCCACTCCTCTTCTCCCGCAAGGACATGTAATTACTCTGTTTCTCTGTTTAAATTAAGCGCCCTTGAGCCCTTTTGTTATCTTGTGTATGGCATTCCATGTTTGTTTGTTGTGCTTTATCTCAGCTGTCCTGAATGTGATGGTGCGGGCTTTGTTCGTCAATCTGGAGTGGCTTTGAGGGCAAATGCTGCACGGAAGGACCAGACTCAAATTGTCTGTGCTCGTTGTAATGGCCTTGGCAAACTGAATCAAATTGACAAATAAGCGCCTTTACATCCTTCTCTGTTATGTGATTTTAATCCCAATTTCTGCTGTAAAGTCCAAAGACCCTATCTTTCTACTCTAGGTCAATTTTCCCTACAGTTAGTCGTCAATCTCCTAGATGTACATATTTATATCTAATAATTGAATCATATTTGATGTTAATCATTTTTAGTTTGTTTTTCTTCCTCTTTTATAGTTCACGAACAGCCTGTATCAGCAAGAAAACCGCTTATATATTCTCCACCTTAATGTCTCTGACAAGCCCAGCTGAAATGAGCTAAGTTTTAGGGCCTTTAAGTTGGGGCAGATCTTGGATTTCTGTTTCATCTTGGGTTGGTATTGTTGGCCTTCATTGGTCTAACATATTAATGGTTTGGGTCTCACATTTTTACTAAATTCAACCTTCAAACCCTTATAATTCTTTTTCATTTTACAAACTATAAAGTATGTATTTGATGTATTATCATTATATAAATATTATATATTATCAATAAATTACACAATAATATCTCATAAAAAATTAAATTAAATCCAAGTGACATAGTTTCAACAGTTTAGATATTTCAAAAACTATAATTACTTTATGTTTTTAAAGGGATGGAATCATCCATCAATAATAATTTTCCCTTGTTTAGAATTTTCTTTTAAACATGTCCAAAACCATTCCTTCCCTGTCCAAATCCCAAGTTTATGCTTTTCCAATCGTTTAGAATATGGTAGTTAAGATTAGGCATAATGATGAAGAGCTAAGTCAAGGGGTTTCCTACGAAGAAGGGAGCTGAAAGATGAAGCACAAGGTTAACATCAAAAGCTGTTAGATTTGAACAGCAAGGAACAACCGACCACTAGCCAGATTGTCCAACACCTTCCTTTTGTCTTGATTAGCAAGTATCTAAACAAGAGTTTGAAGAAAAGTAATCCCAACCCACACATTACTGATACACATGATTCACGAATATATCAAGTTACCATTAATAAATTATATCTAGCAATTATTTTCATTTAATTTCTACTCAAACTATAGAGTTTTCTTACTATATGCATTGTACTAAAATACCCCTGAATTGTAATTCATACCACAATTACTATATTTCTATTTCATCCCCTTTCAACCATATCTTAATGGGGTTACAGTTTATGGCCTTTTCAATTATTATAATAGAATAAATTATAATAAACTTTGTTGATCAATATCTTGATTAAGTCTGAAAAAATTATTGTTTTCAGTTTGCATTTTACAAAAAGCGCATAAAAAATTTAAAACTGAATTCAAGTAGTTCATTCACCTCATTCTTAAAACGTAAAATTTTATAAGATTGAAATTTAATTCTTAACACTTGATTTTCATTTCTCTGTCTTCTTAAGTTTGGTGTCTTTTGTACTATAGACAAGAAGGCATTGGAAAATTTGGGAATAATTTATTACAGTTTTAAGGATTATTAAACTTTAACATTACCACCAAATTCAATAACTTGACCAGCAGCTAGTTGGGTTAATGGGATTTGTTGCAGAAGTCACCTAATTAACAAACCAAACCATTTGTCCGTCGCTATAAAATGACTATCTCTTGCATATCCAATCAAAACATTGTTTACTATCCTTTTTCGCAATATCATTTTCGTATTCTCAACAGTTTCAAGGGAAATCTCAAAGGCACGATGATGGTTTCCAGTCTTCCACCTTATTCATCAGCATTTTTCAGAGCTGTTTTGCTTGCATTGTCTGTTCTGTGGTTATTACCAGAGATGGCATTTGCAAAGCATGCAGCTATTACCAGGCACTACAAGTTTGATGTACGTATCAGCTCCTTCCAAGAGCTTGTCTTTTTGAATTAATGCACTACCCTTTTCTACTCATTTATCTGTTTCATATACATTTTGGGTAGATCAAGATGCAAAATGTGACAAGATTGTGCCAAACAAAGAACATTGTGACAATCAATGGCCAGTTTCCAGGGCCTCGGATCATAGCAAGGGAAGGTGATCGTCTTGTTGTCAAAGTGGTTAATCATGTTCAATACAATGTCTCTCTTCATTGGTGCGAAACCGATCAATGTTTTTGTTCCAATATTTTTGTTTTTTTGTTTTTCCCAAAAAGTCCATTAATATTGCCTTTAACCTGGAGAAACAGGCATGGAGTAAGGCAACTAAGGAGCGGTTGGGCGGATGGACCTGCGTATGTCACACAGTGCCCCATTCAAACAGGACAGTCCTACGTATACAACTTCACCGTCACAGGCCAAAGGGGAACATTGTTTTGGCATGCTCACATTTCTTGGCTCAGAGTAACTGTTTATGGCCCCATTGTCATCCTCCCCAAGCGACATGCCTCTTACCCATTTCCCCAGCCCTTCAGAGAAGTTCCCATAATTTTTGGTAAAACGTTTAGCTTCTCATATCAGGAACTGAGTAAAGCACTATAGAAATTGACATTAATTAAGCTTTGCCTCAAATTACAGGAGAATGGTGGAAAGCAGACACGGAGACAATTATCAGCCAGGCCCTGCAAACTGGAGGTGCACCAAATATCTCTGATGCCTATACCATTAATGGCCTGCCAGGTCCCTCGTACAACTGCTCAGCAAAAGGTAGATATATACTACTAAATATACCATATCAAACATCCACAATTGTCCATTTCTTTAATTTTAGCGTTGGACATGGTTTGTGAAACTCTGTTCGTGCAGATATATTCAAGCTCAAGGTGAAGCCTGGTAAAACCTATCTCCTCCGTCTGATCAATGCTGCACTCAACGACGAGCTCTTTTTCAGCATTGCAAACCACACCCTGACCGTGGTGGAAGCCGATGCAATCTATGTCAAACCCTTCAAAACACAAATTGCACTCATCAGCCCAGGTCAAACCACTAATGTTCTTCTCAGGGCCAAATCTAAGGTTCCCAGCACCACCTTTGCTATGTCAGCTAGGCCGTACGCCACTGGCCCTGCCGCCTTTGACAACACCACAACAACCGGAATTCTAGAATATGAGAAATCTTCTTCAGCCTCAAACTCTACGATTAAGAAACTCCCTCTTCTAAAAGCAGCACTTCCAAAGTTTAATGACTCAACTTTTGCCATGAAATTCAACAAGAAAATCCGTAGCTTGGCCAGTGCCAAATTCCCAGCAAATGTCCCTAAAAAGGTTGATAGACGCTTCTTTTTCACAGTTGGGCTCGGGACACTTCCATGCCCACAAAACCAAGCGTGCCAAGGTCCCAACAATACCAAACTAGCAGCTTCAGTTAACAATGTGTCGTTTGTTCAACCAAACATTGCACTTCTTCAAGCTCACTTCTTTAACAAAGCAAAGGGCGTGTTCACCAGTGATTTCCCTGCCAACCCTCTAATCAAGTTTAACTACACAGGCACACCACCAAGAAACATTATGGTAAAAAATGACACCAAAGTTGTGGTTCTACCCTTTAACACTAGCGTGGAGTTGGTGATGCAGGACACTAGCATAATCGGAGCAGAAAGCCACCCTCTGCACCTTCATGGGTTTAATTTCTTTATGGTAGGTCAGGGCATTGGCAACTTCAACCCCAACAACGACCCTGCAAAGTTTAACCTTGTTGACCCTGCAGAGAGAAACACAGTGGGGGTACCCTCTGGTGGATGGGTCGCCATTCGATTCCTTGCAGATAACCCAGGTATTTCACATGTAACAATTAAAATCCATGAATACGAAATTTAATAATCCGCAGCGAATTGAATTAAAAAAAAAAAAAAACTCTATAGCCAGCATATGGTGATACTATGTGATCTGATTTGTTGTTGTTTGTGATTATGGTATTATCAGGAGTTTGGTTTATGCATTGCCATTTGGAAGTGCACACCAGCTGGGGCTTGAAAATGGCTTGGGTTGTGAACGACGGAAAGGGTCGCAAACAGAAGCTCCCACCACCACCTTCTGATCTCCCTAAATGCTAAATTTTCACTATCCACATTTTTTTTTTCACTTCAATTTGTCTGATCTTTTATTCTTTCTGACACCATAAATAATGTAACATAGTCGACCTTCCATGCACCAACCCATGGGAGTTTTTGAGCAGATTTTTAGACTTTATAATTGTATTAACCTCATTGAAATGAAAGCAATTAAAAGTTTCTATTATCTCTAGATTATCTACTTAGTTTAGAGCCAATATATGGCTTGATTTTCTATATAAGTATTATTACTATTATTATATATAATCATGCACATAAAGTAAGTTCTAATACATATGAATTATTGCATTGAAAAAGGAGAAAAGGGAGGTACAATTTGTTGAAAATAATTGGTATGTTTTATGATTAACGCACCTCTAATTTACCAAAAAATAATAATAATAATAATAAAGGAATATAATCGGTATGTTGATAAATATAGTAATCAGTCTTCCTTCAATTTTTTAATATATATTTAAGTTGTTGTACCTATCTAATAATTAAAACATATATATATATATATATATAAGAAAGATATATATTTGTTTCATGTCAATACCTCTACTAATATGTAATTTTTTTAATCCACTAGTATCTTATTAATACATAATCAAATTTGATATTAATACGAACAAAATTTTAATTTAATTAATTATTTATGTAGTTAATATTTTAAATTTCAATAATGCATAAAATGTATAATGACAAAAATTAATGATTGAATTAATTAGATAAGTTTAAGATTCATAAATTCAAGATCCTTACCATACAAACCTAGAAGATTTAGATTCGAAGTTACCAAATTCGACTAGCCAAGCCAACAACTCGCTTGTCCGTAATTACCAAAAATGTAAAATCAAAATCTAGGGGTCAATCTGAGAAAGGAATAAAACAAAGGGGCATTCGAGTAAAAAAAAAAAAGAGAACCCTTTAGCGGCATCGTCTTAGATATAAACAGTTGTTTCCCACAGCTTCCGAAATTAAAGCTCCTTACTTTTCCCCACAAACAAAACCAAATTTAAAAAAATTAAAAAAAAAAAATCCACCTTGAAATTCACCAGGACCAGAGACGCCGTCGTTTTCAACGCCGGCGCCTCGGCCGCTTGCCTCAACATTATAGAAAACAGCTAAACCATGAAGCGAGGCTTCAGCTTTTCGTTGCCTGTAACCGTTGTCGTTTCGGCCATCGTTTTTATTTATTTTTGTACGGTATTTATTTTCATTGACCGCTGGTTTGGTCTTATGACCTCTCCTGGTATTATGAACGCCGTCGTTTTCACCGGTGTTGCCTTCATGTGTGTGTTTAATTACGGCTTTGCCATCTTCACGGATCCGGGTCGGGTCCCGTCTACTTTCATGCCGGACATCGAAGATTCCAAAGTTCCTATCCATGAGATCAAACGCAAGGTACTCTCAGTAAAACAAACAAATTAAAAAGCATAGACAAGTTCGAATCTTTCGCTATGTCTTGTTAAGATTGTTTATTTTTCCTATCTGAAGTACGAGAACGCTTGATTGTGTTTTCCGGTTGTAATAATTCTGGTAAAGTTTTATTTTTTTAATAAAACATTAATTCTTGCAATTTGGGTTTGTTACTTAGAAATGAATAATGTTGGGGTTGTTACAATTTTGATGCAAATGAGCTGATTTTGGAGTTGGAACATATTAGCAAATTTTGCATGTGGGACAAAAAGGATCTTGGGGGATTTAATTAGGTCTAGATTTGGTGAAAGTTTGGGAATTTAGTAGAAATGAGATAAATGCAATTACCTGAATAGAGGATTTAATTAATTTTTTCTTAATGTGTCAAAGATGGCCAAAAATAAGATGAGCAAAATGCATTATCAAAGACATTCTATTCTACTATGAGTAGATGACCTATTCGAAAAATCTGAGTCAAAATAATTGATTCATTAGTGTGGGAAAGAAAGCAGAATAAGTTACTGCCCCTAAGCTGCTCCTGTGTTTGAGGGTTTGATTGATTCGTTCCGCATTGTAGAAAGCCCTTATAATAGTACCAATCATTTTGTTTGGATGACACTGTAGCTGTTGTTGAGGTCTCTCTAACTGCTAGTACTTTTGTTGCTGTTATCAGGAGAACGATTGTCATCTTGCGTCACCGTTATAATTTCCTTGTTTTTCAAAGGGATAAATTAAAAGCATAAGTTGACTTAATTGTGGGTGGGTCACGTTTGATCACACTTATTAACATTGACTTTTACTTGGAAACAGAACAATTAAAAATTTGGTTTTTCCTGTTTGCTCAAATGTTTTCTTCCATTCAAAGACTGAATTTGATTTTGTTGCTTGTTAAGGATTTGTGCGGAATTTTAAAGTCAAAATAATCTCAATGGGTATTTAATAACAGGAATAGATGTAGTTGATGAAATTGTATCTGAGAGGTTAATAGACTTATATTTTTGCATAACTTTTATTTCAGTCAACCATTTCCAGATTATGACCTTTGTTTGGAATGTTTTGTAGGGAGGGGACTTGAGATACTGCCAAAAGTGTTCTCATTTTAAACCTGCTCGCGCACATCATTGTCGTGTGTGCAAGAGATGCGTTCTGAGAATGGTACGTGCAATCTATGTCATCATTCATGCATGTCTATAATGTCCTCAATAACGTACTAAAAGTTCTCTCTTTGATTGTAAGGATCACCATTGCATTTGGATAAATAATTGTGTCGGCCATGCCAACTACAAGATCTTCTTCATCTTCGTTGTATATGCTGTAATTGCTTGCATCTATTCTCTGGTACGTTGTATCATAGTAACATATTTATTTCCCCTGTGATCCTGAAATTGTCATTGCTGATTTATGAAAGCTCTTTCTTATGCTTTAATTATGTACTTGACTTGATTTCCTTGCACATAAGTACCTCTTCTTCCTTTGGATTGACCTCTGCCATGGTGGTTTAGTTTTACAGTGGTATCCCAGCTGGATTCTTATGAGGTCTTTTGGTCCTTTTCTCATGTATATTTTATGTTCCTTAAATTTCAGGTTTTACTTGTGGGTAGCCTAACTAATGATTCCCAAAATGATGAGCAGCAAAGTGCAGACTCTTTCAGAACCGCATATGTAATGTCAATGATTACCTATGTTCTAGAGCTAGAACTTATCATATTTGTGGTATGCTTATGACTTAGCAATTACAGGTTATTTCTGGACTGTTGCTAGTCCCCTTGAGTGTGGCTTTAAGTGTTCTCTTGGGTTGGCACATCTACCTCATTTTGCAAAATAAGACCACAATTGAGGTAATTAGGATTATTTTTTTGTATTTTGTTTAGTTATAATCTGGTTTCACTCATAGAACGATTTTTCTACTTATTTCTTTGATTTTTGTTTTAAAATTGGCAGTATCATGAAGGGGTGAGAGCTATGTGGCTTGCAGAGAAAGGAGGGAATGTCTATAATCATCCATATGATCTTGGTGCCTATGAAAATCTAACAATGGTAATGCTTCTCTCCTTTTTCTATGTTGAGGGATGTAAGATGTTGCATTTATGGCTTTTAGAAGATTCCATTATTAGGACTTTTTCCTTGATGAATCAGAGAAAACTTCACTTTTTTACCGATAGCTTTAGATCATAGTTTGTGGGTGTTCAAGTATTAGCCTGCCTACTATGATGATCTGATCATCTAGTAGGCCGGCCGAGGTCGATCACCCCTGGATCCATCATCATTAACTTGGTGCATTCCCAGTTTCCTTCTCATTTATTTCTATAGAAGGCTAGAACATATTTATAACTCTTATTTCAGCTTTTGCTATCTGATTGTTTCAGGTATTGGGTCCTAGTATCTTCTGCTGGCTATGCCCCATATCAAGACACATAGGTAATGGTCTCCGCTTTCTAACAGCCTATGATGGCATATCTGCTGCATCAACATCAAAATGAAGTTTAAATTACTTTTGACTTTGCATTGGCAATAACAAGAGCTTTTGACGCTTGAGTGATTGATGAATGCTTATCTCGTGATCACATCTGGTTGTCCGTTTTCCTAGCGCATCTGTGGTAGTCCAGGAAAGTGACCATTATACTTTCTGTCAACAACTGTGAGTCAGAGAGCTTTTGAAGCTGTTGCTGCAAGTGATAATGGATGAGGATTTGAAAAGGCCCCATGTCAATAACCAGGCAAAGCAGTCTGAAAAGCAATTAGAAATAGGATTGGTGGGATTTTACTCTTCTTTTTTTCTCTTGCCCTTTCTTGATCTTCTGGTTGTAGGGGGTTTACCGATAGGTTTTGTACTTTTGACACCTTTTCCATAAAGAGGCCTTCAATGTAGAAGTGATCATGCAAATCAACAGACAAAAGTGTATCAATCATTTTAAAAGAACTGTAAAATCCTTGTAACTCTAAAATACAAACAAAAGTTTTGATACATTCCTGTTTCTTACAGTGTTCTTTTCCTCAGTACAATTGCTCTTCTGCTTCTATCTCTTTGGTCATCTCCAGCTCAACAGTCATAATCCTAAAGACAGCAAAGTGGATTCATTTGTTTGATGTCTTTATCCCATATCTTTTACAAAATTGCAGATACAGACAGCTCATCAAGAAGTGGCATGCCAAGCCAATCTTTAAATTTTATGGTGTTTGGTCTCAACCTTTCTGTCTCCTTTCTTGTCTTCAAATCTTAAAAGAAAAAAAATAATAATAATAACAACATCACGTTCATACACATGTATATGATAAAGTACAACTGATGTAGCAGTACAATTTTGTAAGTAGTAATTACAAACTAGTAATAAGTATTTGATTTTAGTTACATCTGATAATTTTATATGTAATGCGAAAATGATATTAAAATATATATAAAAATAATATAATTTAAAATTTTTATAAAAATTATTTATGAATCGAAGAAAACAAAAGTGTTTCTTGTTTAGCTTATCAAAATGAATTGTGATAAATTAATATTTGATATAAAATAGATACGATATAAAAACGTAATTTTAATAGAAGTGGTTAAATATAAATTTTCTGAAATGTAAATGGTTATGAATGTAAATTTGAGAAAAATACAGGTAGATTTTGAAATTGGCCCAATTTAACAAAAATCATTGACGTAAACAAATACCAATACAGTAATTAAGAGTATTAGATTGGGTAGTGGGCCCTTATCCACTGAACATAGCGCCAGCGCCATCGCCATCTTCGGGAAACTCACGTGGCCTAAGCGTGGTCCTTGTTTGAGTTACCATCTCACGCGCTCTCACAGAATGCAAAACAAACGCTTCGAAACTTTAAACAAAGTTTCCACTTTTCAACATGCTATTGGCTCGTGTTTTCCACACTCATTGACTGAGACTTTATAAAGTTTTCAACAGCATGCGAAGTGAAAAAAAGATAGATTTTTTCTGGGAAATCCGCGCAGATGGAAAAGGGTAGTCTGTAGTCTAAGTTTCCTCTTCATCAGGGAGTTTCAGGCGTTCTGGCATTGTCCGAAATGGAAGTAGAAAACGAAACCAACCCGTCTCAGATTAAGAGGTTTGGCGTCTGGTTATTTGATCATGTTTTGTCTTAATGATCTGTAGCTCAGTAATTGCATGTAGTTGTTCGTTAATTTCTTCAAATAATGAAATCTTTGTCTTGATACCAGCATGGTTTTTTGTTCTTGTTTTTGTTTGTGAATCATCTGACACCTTTACTAAATTGAGAATCGTTTAGAATTTTGAAGGAGGATTTTGTGTGTGAAAGTCTTGATTATGTGTGTTAAGTTAATAGTTTAAATTTAATCCTGGTCATTAGTTAAGCAACTGCTATTACCAGCTATGGTTCTCTTTGTTTGATCATTTTTTACTGTTTTAGCTTGTTAGCGTAAGTTTTGAGGGAAATTATTACGACCAGTTTTTATTTGTGGTTGATCAAGAACTAGACATGTTTTGTTCTGTTCATGATTTGGATCAAGTTCTTGCCTTTTTTTGCCAAAAGTACTAAGTATGGTGATGATTCTCTGTTTCGTCTGCTAGCTTAGGATATTAAGTTAAAGACATAACCTTTGTTTGCCCATCATCTTCTGGACCCCTCAAAATAATCTTTTTAAACTAAAGGAAGGCATTTTAAGATCAAGGATGATGTCTATGATTCCTTGAAGTTGGTCGCTTTTAAGAAAATAGCAAAGTGCACTATGCATTGTGATAGTCAACACACATGACCTGATCCCTCATAACTTAAATACCACTCTAATTCCCAATATTTGAACTTGAAGCCTCCAAGTGGGAACTCTCAAGATCTAACCATTTGGTTGTGCCCTTGGAACAAAATATCAATTTTCATAACTAAGAAAAATAATATTAATTCTTTGATGGCATCATTTCTGCTAGTGTGAATCATTTAAAGGTTTATTGTACTGGAGTTTAGGTGCCTTAACTTGTAGGTCTGGTCTTCAACCTTAATGGTGCCTTAACTTGAAGGCATCTTGAATATTTTTCTATGTTATAAATTCCGGTCAGCAAATGAGAAAGAAAGTCGATCTGCGAAGTAGATCGCCTTCCCTTTTTCTTTTTGTATGTATCATTGCACCATCTAGCCTCTTACTTGCGAACACATCTCCTTTTTCTTATTCCCATTTCTATTATCATTTTCAGCTTGCTCAACATTGATCACTTGAGCAAGAAAAGGAAATTAGGGGCTGAGCTGTTGGGTTTGCCTGTATCGAAGCATCAATGTTGGAAGCGAAGCTTATCATCAAAGCCTCCTACATTTGGCGGTATACTGGAAGTAGAGGGGTTTAGTCCATGCACTTTCAAAGGAAAGGGAGGGGCTGTTTATGATATATCCGAAACTGGATCGGCAAAAGATAGCAATAGCTTTGCCAAAGATTCTGACTCTGCGATGTCTGTGCATGCTGAAGCTAAATTTCGAACAGAGGATGCAAATTACTTACAATATGACAGGTCTTCCTCCTTCTCATCTGATTGGGGATCCAGCTTCCAAGTTTCCCATTATTCTTCCAGTGGTACAACAGTAGCATCAAGGGGTGTCGAAAAAGAAGTACTATCTTCTCCAGGTGGGGAGCCTGAACCTGCTGATGTTGAACTAGCTGAGAATCTTGAGGAGTCCCTTGTGGAGTATGGAAGTCATATAGATTACATCTACTCAAGATACGGAAACTACAACATAGAGCAATACCAAGATAAGGAAATTGAAGAAATTCTCAACTCCAATGGGGCAAAACCAAATGTTTATGTTCTTTCATCCGGAAGATGGAGTGTCAACCTAGGTAATTCCTATGACTTTGAAAATATATATGCATACATAGGAAGCTTATGATTGTATGCGTGATGCAGAGCCATTTGGGGCGGGGGACAAAGTATCTTACTCTATCCCTCCCTATCCTTTGCTTTGTTCATCTGCACTGCACATACAACATCACTAATTGAACACTATTAAATTTGGTTTTCCTGCATATACTGAAAGGAGAAGTATACTTTTTACTTTAATGCAGAGGCTCCACAAACCAGAAGGAAACCAACTATTGATCAAGAATTTGAGCAGTATTTTTCGATGCTTATGCTGTAGGTGAGAGTATTTCAAACTGAATGTCTAAGCTGTGTATATATTGTTTTATGTGGCTTTACTTTAAAGTCAAAATGTAAACGTTGGCTTGTTTTTTGCAGTTGTCTAAGTAACCATTTGCAAGAGATTTGAGGTAACGCTAGCTTTGTCTTTTCCCTTACCATCTTCAAGCCAACTTAAGTTAGGTTGTATACACTATTTGATACTAATAAAATGCCGTTTTATGCAGCTATTATGATTACTCTTTTCATAATTTCTGTGCAATTTTTGTCTTTTTCATGTTCATCTTTCTTTTGGCTTTTGCTCATGGAATGCTTGTGCCTCTGGGGATCGCAATTCCCACTTGATTCAAACATGATGGATGTTCCCTGCTAAACGTGTTGGAAGGTGTATTATATCTGGTTCATTTTGTGTTGGCAGATAAAATTTTAGGTCCTTTACACTATCTAGCATTGTGGATTTACTCTACGGCTGCTAGCTATGATAACAAAACTAGTTAAGAGTTTCATTTTTCATCAAATTGCATGTTGTCCTAACTGCTGGATCTTCCCTAAGAAGATCCCAACATGGTCAAACAGGACTGCATTTGCATTGTAAAATGATGCAATAGGGATGGCACCTGATTATCCGCAATCTTCTAGAATTAACCATGGATGTCAAGTTTAGGTGGAAGTTATTAGATCAACTTCTGTTTGCAGCAAACTATTGATGATAGCAGGAAGGAAAGTAATTGAGGGAGGAGGATGGTTGAACTTAATATTAAAAGCAAAATAAATAAACAAATTAACTGAGATAAATCCGTCGGATGTTACATCTCAGCTGCTGTTCTTTCTCTCGGCCAACAAACCAGACCATTCATCCATCCGTCAATGTCATATGTACCACATCAAAGAAAACAAAAAGAATAGCATGAAAATGAGAATTAAGTTACAAATGAAAAGTGCAGACAATTCAGAAACACTCAAAATGTGACCAAAAAGGAAAAATCGTATAGCCCTTGGGTATTAAAATCAACACTGTGGAAGATCGGACGGTGGTGGCTGCAACTTCTGATTTGGTTGCGGACCATCCAGGACTATCCATGCCATTCTCAGTCCCCAGCTTGTGTGAACATCCAGGTGACAATGCATGAACCATGCTCCTGTTCATAACTCAAACATAATTTCCCAAGTCAAAATAAAAGAGAAATCAGATTATTTCCTTATTCATAGGTACCCCATTTTCCTTTGTTGCGGGAAAAAGAGAAAACGTATTATTTACCTGGGTTGTCTGCAAAGAACCGAATGGCTAGCCAACCACCAGCAGGAACACCAGCTGTATTCCTCTCCATGGGGTCGACAAGATTGAAGTTGGCGGGGTCCTTACTAGCATTAAAGTTGCCAAAACCTTGTCCAACAACGAAGAAATTGTAACCATGAAGGTGAAGTGGGTGACTTTCAGCACCAAGAATGCTAGTGTCCTGCAACACCAGCTCTACACTCGTGTTAAATGGTAGCACCACTGTGCGTGTGCCATTGCTCACATTTGTGTTATTTGGTGCTGTGCCAGTATAATTAAATGGAATTAATGGTTGTGTAGGAAAATCTGTAGTGTAAACTCCATTAGATTGTCCAAAGTAGTAAGCCTGGAGAATAGCCACAGATGGGAGTTGAAATGACACATTGTTAACTGAAGCAGCAAATTTGCTTGAATTATTAGGTCCTTGGCAGGTTGTGTTTTTAGGACAGGGATTTGTTCCAAGTCCTACAGTGAAGAAAAATTTCTTGTCCACAGTTTTTGGTACATTCGCAGGGAATTTAGCATTGGCCAAGCTACGAAATTTCCGTGTGAAGTTTGCAACAAATCCTGTAGCATTAATAGAAGGGAGGGTTGGTTGAAGTAAAGTGAGATTTTTAGAGGATTTGTGATGGGATGGATGTTCATATTCAAGAATTCCTACAGTGGTGGAGTTATCAAAGGAGCCTCGTCCAGTGAAATAAGGTCTAGCAGCCATGAGGAAGGAGGCATTTGGGAATTCAGGCTTGGTTTTTAGGAGAACATTTGTGGTTTGGCCCGGGGTGATGAGGAGCTTGTCAGTTTCGAAGGGTTTGACATACACGGCGTCACCTTCAACCACCGTTACGGTGTGGTTGGCGATGCTGAAGAAAAGCTCATCGTTGAGTGCAGCGTTGATTAATCGGAGGAGATATGTCTTCCCTGGCTTCACCTTCAGCTTGTATGTGTCTGCAACACTCACACAGAAACAAACACGTTAAACCCAAACTTGAATGGATGGCTTAACTTAGATTGGAAAATAGTCAAGACACAAATAGTACTGCAGTCTTCCTAACAACCTTTTTGACTAATCTTTTGTGACAAACCACGTTGTCCAAAAAACATAAAAGTTAAAGCCAACCTGTCCATTTCATTAAAAAAAACGTTTATGCTTTAGCATTAACTGGAACCTTTAGAAGAACAGTTGTAGAGTAGCCCTGGAAGCCCATTGATAGTATATGAATCAGAAATATTGGGTCCAGCTCCTGTCTGGAGTGCTTGGCTGATTATAGCTTCAGGGTCTGTATTGAACCACTCTCCTGAAATCCCAAACCCATGCAGATAGTAGTTTTAGAAAACCTGAAGACATAAAGTTAATGCTTATGGATACATTATTATGTCAATTTCTTACCAAACATGATGGTGACTTCCTTGAGGGGTTTCTCAAATGGGTAAGATTCATTGCGCTTTGGGAGGATGATTATTGGTCCATGGATCGTTACTCTCAACCAGGAGATGTGAGCATGCCACCAGAGAGTTCCTCTTTGTCCTGTGATTGTGAAGTTGTAAATGTATGATTGGTTTGTTTGTATGGGACACTGTGTTACGTAAGAAGGTCCATCCGCCCATCCAGTAGTTAGCTGTCTAACGCCATGCCTGTTTCCCAAATAAAAACAAGAAATTTTAAAATCACCAAATTACTAAAAGTTTAACAATACGGTATGCATTAACATTTGAATTAAAGATTCATACCAATGAATGGTAACATTCTCTGCAATATGGTTAACCACCTTAACAATGACTCCGTCACCTTCCCTTGCCACTAAACGAGGCCCTGGGAACTGTCGGTTCACGCTCAGAATGGTCCTTGTGTGGCATAATCTCGTAACATTGTGGTACTGAATCTTTAATCAGTGAACAAGAAAAAGATATTAACATCAAACTAAAAGTTCAAAAGGAAAAGTGAATTAAGAACTGTTCCAATAATGTACATTGAATGTGTAGTGCCTTGTTTTGCCTGCTGCATTCTCCAGTAATAGCAATAGAACACAGAAAAAAAAGAGCATTGCCATTGAAGGAAATGAAGGGAGATGTGAGGTTGCCATATTCTTTCTTTCAGCTGGTGACTTGGCAAAGAAATTATGGGCAACTTTGATTTGCTGTAAGTTTGAAGAGCAACTATGGCTGCAGAATGCAAGGCTACAAATATATAGGGATATATATGATTGTTGTTGATTAGGTACTAAGATTTTCATTTCCATCGATGAGTTGCACGTCCAATGTTATGATGGTCACCTTGTTTGGTCCGTATTGGTTTTGGTCGAGCTGAATTTTAGAGTGTTGATAAAGTAAGATTTTTCTCTTAACCATTCAAGTAAATCTTGATTACCAGAATGACCTTTCACTAGTGGTCCTCCAGAAAAGACATGAACAGGTAGATTATACACATCAAATCCTCAGTTAAAGTCTACTTAGTATTCCTTAATATGCAATTAAAAAGTCAATTTACTAGGAGTACTATATGTCTTTCAAGAAAATCCCATAGCAGCCATTATACTGTAATTAAGCTAAGTGGCACAAGAAAGTCAATAAGAACCTTGACCTTCTAATCAGCTATATGCCATATGTTAAATCTAGTACCTGAAGAGCACATTGAAATGCCATATGCCATATTCTGTTGCCATACTTCTATTCCCATTTTCCTGGAGCGCCTCTTTCCTCTCTTCAGTATCAAGTTGCATAACCAATAGATGGTAGGCTCCGTGGCAAAGAGAATATGCTTTTCCCTTTGTTGTTTGTATTCGAATCCAGTGGGAGCCTATGGAAAGATAATTTCCCATGAATTTACTAGATTCGGTGTAAAACAACCTGCTTGAATCGACCTGAGGAGAAAATGTATTGGGCAAAGTTCAAAAACCGCTTACCGCTTAACAAAAAAAATTATGAGAAATTCTTTGCAAGTTTGGATGGTAAAATATCAGGGCAGGAGAGGCTATTAAAACATTGTTTTCCCAGGGTGCATGTCTGCAGTTTCTCGGTTTTTTTTTTTTTTTTTTCCAGGGTTTTCCATTTTGAACTATATTAGAATTTTCATTGCAGATTTATACAGGCTTTAGCAATTAATGGTCTTTTATTTGCGTGCATAAGAACCAAACAATTAATTCTAATAAAGCAAATATGATGAAATTTCAAACATGGGATTAAGAAGCCTCGGCTTATCGGAGAGCCGAGTTTGTTGCAGGTACCTGCCCTTGTTACCATATTCTCAAGGTACTTCCTACTTCCCTTGTCTCTAAATTCTTGGAGCCTAAATTGGATCTCCCTCAACTATTTTGGCTTTCAAACTAAGGAATAACGTTGTCACCGTATGGTTAAATGATTTTCATGTAAGTAAACATTAATTATGTTAAATTATATTGTTAAACATCCGTTTCATGTTTTTTCAATCTAACTCTTTATATCCTTGTTATTCTCCTCGTAAGAATGGTGAGACATAAAGTATTTAATAATCTTAAATACAACATAATAACACGATACAAAAATGATACGAATAAAAAATATAAAAAATATGATTTAAAATTTTAATTAAAATTATAAATAAATTTAACAAAACAAAATATATATATTTTATTTTTTATGTCGATATAAATTATAACGCGTAATTTTTTTATAAATATAATATAAATATACGAATTATTAGTATTTTACATGAAATAAATATACGAATTATCATATCTATTTTTAAGATGATCATAAAAAGAGATTAGGCATAGAAAACTGTCTCATGTATGACAAAGAACTAACTTAGAAAAGTTTGAAATTTTAAGATATTAAAGTTGTAACAGTTGAATAGTCCCACCATATTTTTTGCGTTTTTCATGTTCAATCCTTTTCTTCATCTGTTGCAACTGCAAGTTTTGAATGAAACCAAAGACAGCGTGTGGAAACTACAAAGACATTCCAAACTATACAAAAGTGTGTTGAAAACCAGGCATTGAAAGTTTGAAACAAAAAGACCAGAAGACGTTTGATATGTTGGGTTTAGTTGGCAAAAGTTTCTTTCTACCGCATCGTTCGGAGAGAACGATGTGCCATCCGATAAGTGTCCACTCTTGAAAATGAATGATATCTGCTTCTTAAAAATGGGGTGGATTCTGATAGAATCCATGCTTATGGCACTAGTTAAGTGATGTTTGATTAAGGGTCATGATCAAACAAGCTCAAGTGCTTCAGTTGCTTGCACTGTGAACAAAATTGATTGGTCAAACCTATAAATCTTCGACATCACTGGTTACATTGCGAGGCCTTACTGTTGGGCTTGGTTTCCCATGGAGGTGGCCTAATTCAAAACTCATTCATCATGAAATTTTTTAATCATTTTATGTTTGGTTACAGAGTTTTCAACTCTTATACGACTGAAAAAATACGACTGAAAAAGAAACAAGAAAGGTGTAGCGGCAACAAAGAAAAAAAAGGATTTTGTATAATTTCGGTTAAGTAGTTTAATTGATATTAGTTGAAATTTTATCGATATATTCACGATTCATTATTTTTTAATTTAAACAGTGAGTATCAAATTTTAAATTTTTTATTTAATTTTATGGGTATTTATTAATTTTTAATTTATTGAAATTTTTTTTTTTGTAATATTTTTTTTATCAAGATTATTTAATCTTGAAATATTATAATTATATACCTTTAGTTTTATGTAGAGAAAATTTTGTATTTTTATTATTTTGATAATAAAAATTATTTGTTAGTGTCTATGATTTTTATTTTTCGTTTTAAAGAAATTTTTTACGTAAATTACTTGTGTCTTTATATTTATGATTTAGAGATTTATTTGTTAATTTTATTTATTTAATTCTCATTAATTTCACATAAAAAAATAATTTTTTTTCATTATATAACATATTTAATTTGAATATTATTTGAGATTATTTTATCTTATCACTTACACTTTACACGAATTATGAGATCAAGGTTGTAGACAAAACCTGGATCAGGAACTAGACAACTCATATTTTCTGGTTTAAACAATGTACAATTATGAGATCAATGTTATATAAAGTTACCGTCTTTATATTAGCAATCTCTCCTTTTCACTAAGATGATTAGTTCCTTTTTTGTTCTCAATTTTTAATTTATTTCTGAGCTTTCACTTTGAATTCGTACTATAATGATTAGTTAATTATTAATTTACAGCAAAACAATCAATTTTGATTAAGCTGCAAATTATCATTAACCTGTCCCAAGAGTAGCAAATATCATGTAAGGTGGGATTGCAACTTCAATCCGAAATGCAGACATTTTTTTTTACCAACAATTAATTTCTATTACTGGAAGTCTAATTGTTATGAGAAATTTAAATTCTGAAGAATTGTTATTTGTTGTGGATCCATTGGATTCCTGTAGTCACAAACTTATCTGATCTGACAGAACATGATTCACATTTTTCAAATTGCATCTTTGCCAGCTATTGTTTCGAGCAGGAAAATCATTGCCCTGACAACACCCACATCCACAATATTGGAAATTGGAATAAACAAGTAAAAGAACATTACTAATAGCCCCAAAATTTCAACGATATGAACGTTTCCTTAGATTTTTTTTAGATAAAATCCACCAATTCATAGCTTGAAATTGGCTACAATTATCAGCAAGATTAGCATCACCATCAAAATGAAGGTGGGAACTACTCACCATAATATACTAAAAATTAAAGTTATAGAAAAAGATATGCTATCACTTTAATAATAAAAAGTTTTTTATGTTGAAAATGTACGTAATATATTCTATAAAAAAAAATACATAATGAATATTATCTTAGGATTCATATGATCTTATGCCGAAAGAAAACTTTTCATCGTGCTGTGATGTCGTCTTATAAATGTGATACTATAATATTATACGAAAAAAATTTTAAAATTTTATTATAATATATAAATAAATATTTATATTTATATTTATGAATAATTTTTATAAAATAATATCGTAAAATTTTTAAATCAAATGAATAATGTATTTAATATGTAATATGTCATAGTAACAATTTTTTTTAATAAATCTTATTTTCGTAACTTTAGAACAAAATTTAATATGTAAGAAAAGCAAAGAGCAAAAGAGAATTAAGCAGAGGGATAAATTAATAAAAATAAATCAATTATCTTCTACATTACAAATTTGAAGAAAATAAGAATTAATACTAGCTACTACTACTCCTAAATCATATATTTACGATTGAAATTTATAAAATAAATATATAATGCAAATTAAGTCTTTGAACTCTCTAAGCACAAGCTTCACGAATAGGCTGCATAGTGAAAAGAGTATCAAGATCAGGCGGCTGAAAGTAACCGTTCTTCGGTGGCTCCCTCTTTGCTCCTCCTTGTGATTTCTTCCTAGGCGGCGGTGGACATTGAAACGCCTCCGGAATTCTATGCTTCGGCGTCGTACAGCCTTCTTCTATCGAATCAGATCTCTTCATTTTTCAAAAATAGAATTGAATTGAATTTCGTTTCCTTTTGAAAATTTGAAAAATTGGGGGGGTTGAGAGGAAAAAATTGGAAATGTCCGTGCTATCGTAGCGATGCTGTTGAAATATAAAAAAGACTGGTTTTTTTTAATCGTGCGGTGGGGACGGGTGACAGCTAAGCAGGATTTGTTGGGTCCATGTGGCGGATGATGAGTGGGTTGGTTAATATAAAGTGTACTCGTGGCCCACGTTGAGCCGCGTTCTGATAGTCGTGGGCGCTTTTTCAGATAGGGCGGCCACCGACCTGGGTCGGCGTTTGCGCGGGAAAATTAGGTCTTTGAATCTTGACCGCCCGTTTTGGTTTGTTCAGAGAATTTTATGTTTTCTTTTAATTGGATTTGAGTCGGTGGTCATAAATTGGAGGACTGAAACGCTGTCGCTGTCCATGGGCCCACTGGTAGAATTGTTAATGGGCTTTATAATGAAGACAGTGCCACGTGGAAAGAATACATTGGCTTCAATTTGTTGGGCCATGACCCAAAGATATAACTCTCGCCAGCATTCTTGGGCTTAACTTCTAGAACAACGATTAAGAAAAATAATTACACTTTTAAAATGAAAAAGGATTTTTATTAAAGTTTTTTTTTTTAATGTCGAGTTTATTGAAATAAATATTCATCCTTCAATACTCAAATATAATGTTTAACAAATAATTTTTTTTTCAAAAAATATGATTATAAAATATGGCTTAAACGCGTTTGCTTCTAAAATATATATAAAAAAAATAAGATGAATGAGAAACATAAAAAATTTGGACCCACTAACAAAAAAAAAGGTAGAATAAAATAAATAAATAGTAGATGGGCTTTTTGGGGTTAGAGACAGAGGATTTGAACCCTCATGATTTTTAAGGTCGATGAATTTTCTTTTTATTATAAATTTTATTATTGTTGGTATTGATATTAACATGTAGAATGAAACTTTATTTTTATTCTTGTCCTATTAATTAGTTTTTAAAAATATTTATCAGATTATAAAATGAATAATTTGATTAATGAATGTTTTATTTTATTTTTTCTTCAAATTGGAATTGATTTACAATAAAATTTTCTTTTGCTTTTCATAAAATTTAATTTTACATATAAATAAAAAAAGTTCAAATCATCTTTTTTGAAATAGTTTTTTCTTTTTAATAATACTTATTTATTTTATATTTTATATAAATATATCTTGACACAAGGTGAGTAAATTAAATTTGATGATCATAAATCATAACTTTGAGTCTATGATCATAAACATGGCTTGTTTTATCAAATATATTTTAATTCAATCACACTTGTGTAATATTTTTTTATGTAGAAGTGATAACGATTCCATTCAAGTCATATTCAATTTATTTTTTAAAAATATTACGTAATAATATAAAATTTTAAAATTTAATTTAAAATTAAATCGAAACGAATTTTATTAGTTTAATTTGATTTAATTTATCGATTTTAATTTTTAATTTATATATATTATTTTAATATATTTAAATAAATTTTAATATAAAATTATTATTTTTATTTTATAAAATTTTAAAATATATATATAAATTAAAAAATATATAATTTTATTTAATTCAATTTATTTAATTTTTATTTTTTTAATTCGAATTTAATATATATTTAATATTTAAATTTAATCACAATTAAATGTAAAAATATCAATTTAAATCAAATCAAATACTATAATTTTAAATCATATTTCAGTTCTGTCAAAAAAAATTTTTTTCATCCCCACTCATGCACCCAAGACAAATTAAAGGGGTCCCTCTTCTGTTTTGCGCTAACATGGTTTTGTTGGTTGCACCGTCTCTCCAGGGGCTTGATCGACACGACGGGGACAGCTCAAACTGCTCCATTTTCTCCGCACGTGAATTTTGACCATGACTGGGGCCCCCCCAATCGTATACACGTGTAGCTAAATCACAAGCCAGATCCCACATTACAAAGGGTTGACTTTTGAGAAAACGTCCACCTTAAGCAGCTAAACCCAAACCCATTCTGACAGTCAAAACCAATTTGTCTTCACGTTCCAAGAGGGTCAGGGTTTGGCTCACCTTTGGATTTCTAGGATTCACAAAGTCAAAGCCGAACCGATACAAAACTTCCCTCACTCTGAAGCAACTTCTCGGAAATCGTCTTTTCTTGAAGATAAAGTTGTAAATACAAATTGGAACAGGGGAGATTGCTCCCCCTTTAAAAGGATTACATTTAGATTGTCTACCTAATTCATTCATTCAAGCAATTACTTTAAAAAATTTTGTAAATTTTAATTTTAATTTTAATGTTTCGATTGAACTTAAGCCACCTTAATTTATCATCATCTATCTAGTTTAATCAATGGTATAGATGCTCAACTGCCTAAAGGCTTTCAATGATATGGGCAAAGAATATATAAACTTATGCTTAACTGATTTTAAGGGTATATAATTATACCTTCTTTAGTGGTTGACTCTTGCTTTGGTTGAAAATGGGGTCAAGTGTCCGGTGGCTTTGGTCCACCTTAGATGCATCTATCCCATCAAAACAACGTAAGAAGACAAAATCCAGAATGAAAAATACAGAGAGTCCGGCAAATTTAGAGACAATCAGCTCAAAATATTGAGATGGCCACCATCTATGGCAGCTAAGCATGAAACGCGATTTGAATATGCTTAACTCTTTTAGTTACTGCCTATTTACTTCTTTCATTTTACATATTAATGGATGATTTGTAACTAAATTTATATAGCTAATTGTTGATGTCGAACTTCGAATTGAAAGTTAAATTTTTGAAATCATAATAAAAAAAAATGATTAAAATGACTCTTTACCTTGACATTTTGACACTCAAATAAAAGATTAATTATTAAAGATCGAAAAGAGAGTGAAAAATAAAAAAAGTAGAAGAAATGTAAAATGAATAAATAACATTTCAATGGTTTTATTTGTAGATAAAAAGTGAGAGATTTATGAGATAAAATAATGACATAATATTGTGTATATCAAGTCAACTTGATATATTAAATTAATCTAAAAATAAATAATACTTCTAACTATCTGTTAATAGCCTCTGATGAAAAAAATTAATTTGCTTTTTGAATTTAAAAGTGTCCCTCACACTAACTATATATGAAAAACACAACATAGCATATTTAACTAAAATAGTATCCATCAATATGATAATAGTTTTTTATAAGAAAAAAAAACTCATAATCTAAAATATATATATGTATAAATATTAAAATTTGAATCTTGAATCTTGAATGCCACAGGTGACTGCATGCAAAGAGACGAAACCCAATTAAGAAAGTAATTAAGGAGGGGATGCTCCAGTGTACAGTTAACCAAATTTTGTAACAACTACAAGGGCAGGAAATTCTTAGCAAAGTCAAACATATATATGTACAACTCTTATCAACTTATCTGCTCCACTACTCTCTTCCTTCCCCATAAATTTTCTTCTTCCTAGCTACTTAATATTGCATTATCTTACCGGATTCTTCTTGTTGTAATAGCTAAGTTTGTAGTGCATCTTGGTCTAATGCAAGGTTTAATTAGTTATGGCTGAGAGAGCTGTGATGGAGAAAGATCAGAAGGATGATTGGTTTGATGGCTCCGAAGATGAACTTGTGAGAGAGCTTCTTGATGATGAGTCTCCTTTCTTTGTCCTACCTCAAGAGACAATTCAAGCCAAATCAAAAACTTTAGAAGAAGAGGCCTCTAAACGACTCATCTCCACTGTCTATTCAGGGCCAAGGATTGAAGATATCGAGAATGCTTTATCAGTGACAACCTGGAAGGATCAATGCCCAGCACAACAGCAAACCAGGTATGAGTGATGAATTTTTCTAGAGCTCATGACTAATCTTCATTTGATATTAAATGAACAATCTTTTTTCGCAGAATTAATTCATTATTGGAAAGAGGTTTGACTAAGATAGAGAATAAGTATACTCTAAAGATCAAATGCAGTGGCAATGTCATGGCAGATGATGGATATAAATGGAGGAAATATGGGCAAAAATTGATTAAAAACAGCCCAAATCCAAGGTAATTAACTATAGATTTGCATTGCTTATGAAAACTAAAACATCTGAATGTGTTCAGTATCCTCAAATGGAATATCAAATCCTTGGCAATTCAAACATCAGCTTCGCATTTAAAGCTCATGTCCTATTGCTTTTGTCATTACTATCCCCACCCAGATCATGAATTTAAGTATGTGATTTTCCTTTGAATTGGCATGAAACAGGAGCTATTACAAGTGCACGAACCCAAGATGCAGCGCAAAGAAGCAGGTGGAGAGGTCCAGAGATGACCCAGATACACTCATCATCACCTATGAAGGGCTTCACCTACACTTTGCCTACCCATACTTCCCACTCAACAACCAGCCTTTTCAAGATAATTCATCACCAACCAAGAAGCCCAAGAAGGTAATTTCAGAAGCTGAATCACAGGCTTTTGGAGCTTCGCAAACAACAAAACCCCAAGAAACTACAGCAGTATTGCCAAGCTCATTCCATGGCTGCCCTCAAGAACTAGCTCTGGAAGGATTTAGTCAACAAGGGTTGCTTGAAGATGTGGTGCCTTGGATGATAAGGAACCCATCACACAACAATAATATTTCCTCCAATTCCTCTTCCTGTTCATCTTCCCTGTCCCGTTCTCCTCCTGCTTCACCTTCTCCACTGTCTTGGTCTCCTAATTATAACCCATGCTTTGATATAAGCATAAACTCTAGCATTAGTTGAATGTGTTTTGTGGGTTGAAACCAATTAATTAAAACTATAGTATGCCCCCGTTAATGTTTTAATTAATGTGCTCTTGTAATATCAAATTAACTTAGAATCTAATTTGCATTTATTTTCTCAATCTCATACTCCTAACCAAGGTTGCTTTACATTGCTAAATCATTTTCAAGCCATTTTTTAATAACATTAGATTTATTGCTAAAGATTACAATTATATAATTAAATAACTCATAATAAAAAAAAATCTTATTTAATAAGACTTAAATTTGAGATTTAAAAGTTTCTCTAACTTTCTTCTTACTACTGCAGCAAAATTTTATTGATATTTTAAAGTTTTTTTTTTAAAGAATTTTTAATGAATTAGAAATATAAGTAAAATCACGATCCAATAGAATTCAAATTATTCAGTTTATTTATATAATTATTTATATAAGATAACATTTAATAAATTTAAAATTATGATTTTTTTTATTAAAAAAAATCATAATCACAAAAAAATAAATCATATCGTTCCAAAAAAAATGGCCCAAACAAAGATGAGTTTAAAAAAAAAAAAATTTAAAAAAAAAGGAAAAGAAGGTTTGGAAAACCCAATAAAAGAACCCAAATTGATGAATGAAATATTTGGCCCATTTGGTTTGAAAATTATGGATTCTACGAAAGAGTTGTGGATTACAACAACCTCTTGCCACAAGCGAAACAGAAACTCCATTTGAAATGACAAAAAAAACCTTATCAAATATCGCAGAAACGCTTCAATCAGTAAGGTTAGAATGGGGAATTGTGTCACGAAAAGAGGCCGTTCCCGAACTCTGCAACAAATCCGACCTTTTTTCACGTATTACGTCCCAGGTAGGCAGGTACTTCAACTTCAACAAAATCAAGCAAATTTTTTTTTTTTTTTTTTTGTATTTTTTGTATTTTTTTCTCATTAACCAAACGGACCCCAGAAGCGCAATAACCCTTCCTTTGGTAGTTAACTATTCTGAATCGATTCATGTTACCATCATCAATACTATTACAATGATTTTCTCCAGAATTGTTCGCACTCTCTCCCGCTCTTCTCGCTCCACTTTCCAAACAGTAATAATATTTCCTTCCCTTATTTTAATTAATAACAGTATCATTTTGTTTTTTTTTTTCTGTTTCTGGTAATGTTTTGAGTGTTCGTTTTTGCAGAATTTATTATCGAGAAATCTGTTATCGAGCGAATCGCATGTCCCTAGGCCTGTAGGAAATGCGTTGATTTCACGCGTCAATCAAGGTTTAGGGCTTGTAAGGGGTTATTTTGCACCAGCTGGAACTGGGAAGCAGCTCGTTTCAAGTACGCCATTGTCGAATTTGGATTCGATTCTAGCAAACCCTAGGATTAGGCGGTTTTTCTCCAGTGAAGGACCCAAGAAAAGAAGTGAGTTAATAATCGTCGATATTTTTATACGTCTCATTTAAATTTTACACTTTTTTAATTTATTTTTTAACTGAATTATTGTAGAATATGAAAATTACTACCCAAAGAACAAGAAGGGTATTGCTAATGAACAGAAATCTGGATCCAAAGGTACGTCATTTACTGGAAATCCTTTAGAGTGTATTTGTTTAGGAGGAATCCTAAAATTTTCTCGCAAAATCTTAAGATAGGTATTTGTTTCTCACATTTGGTTTAGAGTAATCCAATTACGGGGAAAAATGTCAGATTTTCAATAATACCCAAAGTCCTGGAATCAGAAATTTACCTTTCCTGATGGCATTTTAAGATTTCGCGGGGGAAAGTTGTCCTATTTCTAAATTTGATTTAAATAAAAAATTTGTTATATATCCGTTACCCTTTTGAAAAGCAAGTTTGAAACTCAGTTGTAGCTTTTTTTAAAAGAAGTTACCTTATTTTTAATTCAGTTTTAATATGTGGTAATTAAGGCATTTGTAAGAAGCGTTTTTTCCTACAAACGCCTTAATTGATATCAATTAAGGCATTTCTTTCTACAAATGCCTTTTTTGATATTTTTTCAAGAATTTTTGCAAAAGCATCAAATAAGGTGTTTCTTTGAACAAATACCTTATTTGACCCATTCAAATAAGGTATTTTGTTTTTACAAACGTCTTATTTGATAGACGATCTTCTAGAATATTTACAAAATCGAATAGGGCTTTTTTTGAACAAACGTCTTATTTGATGTTTTTTCTAACATATTTACAAAAGTTAATAAATTGTTCAGCTCTTCCAAAAGTCATAATTGATTTTTTTTTTATATTTTAATACAACTATTATGGTTGATGTCTAGTTAAACACCGTAATTGGGTATATTTAAAAAAATTAAAATCTTTCTCTTCTTTTGCTACTAAAGGCATCATTTGTCATTTGGGTTTTTTTATTAAAACAAAATGAAACGTTACCTAAAGCTTGTCAATGACATTATGGTAATTATATATGAATTAATAAATCAAAATTTCCCTCAATCAAATGAGTGAATCTGATTACAGGATATCCTGAAAATCAAACAAAACCCCGGGCATCAAACTTTCCTGGGTATTACACTTTTTCCTGGAATCCAAGATTCTGCGAACCAAACGCCCCCTTAAATTTTTTTCACATTTAGTTACAATCTTGATTGAGATTAGTGAAAGTTGACAAAAAATTGAAAGATTTTGTTGAAAACGCTTGTGAATCACTGATATTTTCTTATGTTCATGACATCACCATTTGTAAGATGTTGACTAAATTGAAGATTTCATGGTGAATGTAGTTAAGTAATTCGAGCTCTTGTGATATTTATGTTAATGTGATTCTCCAGAGGATTCTGATCCTGGCAATTCCCAGAACATTGCAAAGTTGATGCAGCATATGGTCACTGCTTTATTGTTGGTTGGGTTTTTGTACTCGACATTTTCAGGTCCTCATGATCAGAAGGAGGTTAGCAGCATTTCCCCCTTATTTTTAGAAATTGTTCAGGTTGGTTCTTAATAATACATTGGTTGTTATAAGGCACGATCTCAATGGCAACTTTTCATGTCATGTTAAGACATGAGCTACCCTTTTATTGGCCTTGCCGTGAAGTTACTAAATATGAATTTAGATGACTTAGTATATCGAGGAATCAAGTTTATTGGCTCTCTGGATTTGCCATTCTCCCTCTGATGAAACTGATAATCTTCATGGTTCTTGTTCCAGTTGGTCTTAGCAACCCTTTGGACTTAGCCTAATCCCTTTGTGTATATCTTGTTCAAGAATGTGACTCTAATACCCATGAGAAAACCCAAGTTCAAGCAAAAAAAGTATGAATGAAACCAGAACCAGAAACAGTATCTTGAAGTAAATGCCTATTGTGTGTTTTATGGGATTTATTGGGAAAAAACATGGAACCACCATTAGGTGAAAAAGAAATTGTATGTCTTAGGCTAGGTTTTAGTTTTTATGAATTCTTTTTCTTACAACCATTTTAATTTCCAGTTCTACTCTCTCTTTTCAATTTTTTCTTTTCTTTAAGCTGTGTGATGTGTTCTTCAGATTAGTTTCCAAGAGTTCAAAAATAAACTCCTGGAACCTGGCTTGGTGGAAAAAATTGTTGTTTCAAATAAATCTGTTGCAAAAGTTTATGTGAGGAGGTCACCACACAATGCAAATCAAACCATTGATGATGCTATAGAAGCTTCAACAAATGAAGCCTCTGCAGGAAGAAAGATAAGCCAATATAAGTACTACTTTAACATAGGGAGTGTTGAATCCTTCGAGGAGAAGCTAGAGAAAGCCCAAGAAGCATTGGGGCTAGATCCTCATGATCATGTTCCTGTAACTTATGTGAGTGAAGTGAACTGGTACCAAGAGTTGATGCGCTTTGGACTGACAGTCTTGCTCTTAGGGTCCTTATGGTTTATGGGGAGAAAAATACGAAGTGGATTTGGAGTTGGTGGTTCTGGGGGCCGAGGTGGTCTTGGAATATTCAATATGGGAAAGGCGCATATTACAAAAATGGACAAGAATACAAAGAACAAGGTAACTCATCGTTAGAAAATTTTTTTGAACCTGTATAGTGCTGTTATCTTACCTATATACAAAGTAAGATTTGAAGGTCAGCATCATGATAATTCTTTGCAATGGTTTACTTGCCGTACCAGGTCTTTTTTAAAGATGTTGCTGGTTGTGATGAGGCAAAGCAAGAAATTATGGAGTTTGTGCACTTCTTAAAGAACCCAAAGAAATATGAGGAATTGGGAGCTAAAATTCCCAAAGGTGCACTTCTTGTTGGTCCTCCTGGCACAGGGAAGACACTTCTTGCAAAGGCAACTGCTGCTGAATCTGGGGTGCCTTTCCTCTCTATGTCTGGATCAGATTTTATGGAAATGTTTGTTGGTGTTGGGCCGTCAAGAGTGAGAAGCTTATTTCAAGAGGCAAGGCAACATGCCCCTAGTATCGTATTTATTGATGAGATTGATGCAATAGGTAGAGCAAGGGGCCGTGGAGGCTTTTCACGTGGCAATGCTGAACGCGAAAGTACTCTTAATCAGTTGCTTGTAGAAATGGATGGATTTGGAACAACTTCTGGAGTCGTTGTGCTTGCTGGCACAAATAGGCCTGATATTTTAGACAGAGCCCTGTTGAGACCTGGTCGGTTTGATCGTCAAATTACAATTGACAAACCTGACATTAACGGTCGTGACCAAATCTTTCAAATATACTTGAAGAAACTAAAACTGGATAATGAGCCATCTTCTTACTCTCAGCGACTTGCTGCTCTAACCCCAGGTTTTGCTGGAGCCGACATTGCAAATGTTTGCAATGAAGCAGCATTGATTGCTGCAAGGAATGAAAGTGCAGTGATAACCATGGAACATTTTGAGGCAGCCATAGACAGGGTGATAGGTGGTTTAGAAAAGAAGAACAAGGTGTGTTGTTTCTCATCATCTGCCTCTTTTGTTTATTTATGCACTGCATTATTATAAATAGAAACCTCTATTCAATCTATGTGATCGGTTATTTTTCCTCAAATGTAATTAAGTGTGTGGAAGAGTGATTTGAATGTCTAAATGTCAAAATCTGGTTTTCAGTTTTCCTCTGTGGTGGTATAATACATTTCAGGATGTAGCTGTAAAGTTTGTATAGAGTATAGAACGTCGGTTAAATTGCTTGTTATATGTTTGATCTCCCTTCTTCGGCTGACGTAGTGTCTCAGAGATCTATGATCTATCTGTTTTTCAGTCAATAAAGAAGCTCTACATTGATTTGCTTAGCATCCTTCTGACTATTTCCTGCTTCCAGTATGGAATGAAGCTTTGTCTTATTTAACATTTTTGTTCTGGCATGCAGGCTATAAGCATGTTAGAAAGGAGAACTGTTGCTTACCATGAATCAGGCCATGCTGTTGCTGGTTGGTTCTTGGAATATGCAGAACCATTGCTTAAAGTAACAATTGTTCCTCGTGGTACTGCAGCACTGGGGTTTGCTCAGTATGTTCCCAATGAAAATCTCCTGATGACCAAAGAGCAGCTTTTTGATATGACTTGCATGACGCTAGGTGGTCGAGCTGCAGAGCAGGTGAAACTTCTGAGCACCTTCTCACACTTTTCTTTATACATCTCAGATCATCCTGAATCGATAGACAAAGGCTTCTTTAGAACTTAGAATATCATATGCTTGTTTTCTCTAACTTGAATTATGTATGTGTGCTGGGTGCTTGACCATTTATTTCCAAGGTTGAAACAGAAGCCGTTAGTATCAGGTCTTCAGGTGTCAACTAGAAAGGGACTCATTTGCTGCAGCTTTGCATTTTTCTTCTATATGCATGCTTTGATCACATTGAATGCCCAAGTTTATGAATCACCTTCCTTGTGCATCTGTCTGATATGCATATCTCAAGTTGAGATGAATCCTAGATGGTAATGCCTGACAACTGGTCTGGTTTAGGTAGTAAAGGAAGCCAACGTGTTTTGGCTGCAACAGTTTGCACTTTTCAATAGCATTTGATATTACGTATAAATATTTTGCTTGGGCATAAATTTTCATATATCTATTTTGCACGATAGATTTTTAACCAAGTATTTTATCATGTCATGTATATTTTATGGGGACTAGGTTATGTTGAGGAAGATTTCAACTGGAGCTCAGAATGACTTAGAGAAAGTAACCAAGATGACCTATGCCCAGGTGGCAGTGTATGGTTTTAGTGACAAGGTTGGTCTTCTTTCTTTCCCTCAAAGGGATGATGCATTTGAGATGACCAAGCCTTATAGTAGCAAGACCGGTGCAATTATTGACAGTGAAGTGAGAGAGTGGGTGGGTAAGGCATATGAACGAACGGTGCAGCTGATAGAGGAGCACAAAGAGCATGTGGCTCAGATTGCAGGATTGCTTATAGAGAGAGAGGTCCTTCACCAAGAGGACTTGGTTAAGATACTGGGGGAACGTCCATTTAAATCAAGTGAGCCCACTAATTATGATAGGTTTAAGCAAGGGTTCCAAGAAGAGTACAAGGAATCCAAGGAGGCAACGGAGGGCAAAATTGTGGTGGATGATGGTTCAACACCCTTGGAACCTGAGGTTGCGCCTGCATAATTTTCTAACATTATAGGTTAATTTGCTCATTTTGCGTCCCCTTCTTATCCAAACTGAACTCTAAGCAGTAAAATGGAAAACAAAATGCCTAATCTGAAAATGAAATGTTCTTTCTGGAATTCTTTGATATATCAAGAGGCATCTCGCAATTTGCAAAGCGAAAGTGAATTTTCGATATAAGCCTACGGAGCTCAATGGAGTAGTAGCTTGTTATTTTAAGAATTTGTCCTGGCCAAATTAACAAATGAAAGGACTGATTGTCTGATTCTACTTTCTGTCTCAGGCTCTCAGCCTAATGACCTTTTAGGTATAGTCATACATGATTGATTCAGAGAAAGAAAATGATTGAAAAACTCCAAATAAGCGAATGGACAGCGGTGATTGCATGGTAATAGGAAACATCGCAAATGCAGAAAACGAATGCCTTTCCATTTTCCAAGCATCTTTCTTTTAATCCTTTACATTTGGTTAAAAGCAGTGGATGACTGATGGCCACATGCTCATTCCATTAGTAGGGTTCACTTTTGGATGCCTTGATAATTTTTTCAGAGAAAAAAAACAGTTTTTTGAACTTATGGCCGACACATCAAGTAAAGACATTAATTTGTGGTGTACGACGACACACATTGACTTACATCTTATCTTTAGGTTCAGAGTTTTGTGAGTCGAGGAAAGCCTTAATTGCTGTTGCTATTGTGTACCAAACTGCAAAGAACTCTAAACCTCAAATTTTATTTCATGGTGTTGAGCACTCGATAATGTCCAAATCCTAGTTCTGGTCCCAACAATTGCTGTCGCCAGCTAAATTTAGCCACATAAATTGATTCGAAAACCAAGCAGTACATTGACATTATCTTCTCAGTTATAGATACACCAGAATTTAAGGGTCAGGGCCGTAACTGCAAAGCTGTGCTGATTGCGCTGAATCAGTTTATAACCAAGGCCATGGAAAGTGTGTGTCTTCTTCGTTCATTTATGCTTTTCATTAGGGTATAACAATGGCAGGATTGTGGGCTATCAGGAAGTGAAAGTGGACAAGACTTGGTGTTGCTTTACGTAAAAGACTGCGAGAAAAAAGCTTACCAATAAATGCAAACGCTAATCAATGGCCTCCTTGTTGGAAAGCAAAACTCAGATAAGCATGGTCTCCAGCAGGACCAATAATAATTCATCACCAATCATTTGTGGGGATGTTTTTAATTTGGCTTGAAACAAAAATTCAAAACTGTTTTAAAATTTACCCTCAAGTCTTGGATTGATCAGGTTATCCTGTAGAAAATGACAATTTTATTACTACCGTTTGCAGGATATTCAAACTCTTGCTGCCAATGCCCCTAACAATGCAATTTGTTAATTTATTTAATTGCTTCAATTGATTCAAGAACTACCTTTAAAAAATAGCATCAAGGAATTTTTAAATTCTAGCACTTTCAAGTTGTAACATTTTCTTCCATTCTTAGACTGCGACTTTTTTCATATAAAAAAAAAAAAAAACTGCTCTTAATCATGTGATTGGTGGATCAAATTAGTGAGGTTGGTCCTGTTCTAATAGTTTTGTTTAATCAAGTATAAACATTTTTTATAAACAAGACAAGTTGAATACTAAATAAAACATTACCCCAAAAGCCAAAAATGCACACAAATTTGTGCAATGAACAAGCATAACACAGATGATCAATAGACAAAACAACCAAAGACTCAACACCCTGTGTTTTACAACTCATCTCAACCCAAAAAAGGTTAGAAAGATTCAGTTTCTTTCCCTTCTCTCTTTCTTTTCTTTTCCCTGGATATGGGGTAAGGAAACCTGAAATCATAGTGGGTGAATGAATTCACCTGTCAGCTCTTTCCAGCATTGGGTGTTGTCATATTGTGTTTGCTTTATCTGATGAAAATGGCATCACACAAATAATACATATCAAAGATTGTTGCAGTATTTTTGCAAGATATTTTCTCTTTGTAATGACGCTTTGGACACCATAGAACATGGCCATCGTAAAGTCAGAAGATCAGAGGTCAGAAACAGCCAAATCATGCACGACTCACCCATTTGCTGTCATGCAAAAATTGCAAAACAATTATACCCCAAAGAGCATATACCAATCAAACACTCCATGAGATATAGCATCTTAGAATTGCCATCTTATTGCCAATATTTCAAGTCAATCGTCTCATTACGACATTGGTTTCTGATTCGGATTTGAATTTTACTAAAAATCCTATGTTGATATTAGTCTTAAATGCATTACACGTAAAAATATAATACATCTTATCTTTTCATAAAGAACTAAGCACTTTATTTACTTTAGATTTTATTGATAAAAAAAAAAAAAAGCTAATCTCTTGAGGTTATAATAAGTATATACACAGGGATGACAAAGAAGAAATTTGATATTCTTATTTAAAAAGAAAACTTGGGGTCAAAAATACCATCTGTTCAAGTATAAGTTTCCTGATAAAAATACTTGAGAAATTGATGTTAAAGAAATTCTTGTTATGTCAAGAAACTCATGATTAGTTCTTCATGGGAAACAAGAGTTCAAGATCTGAATATTGGTACCATGATTGGCAGTAGTATCATTCTGTTCAATACCTTATTTGCTGTCAACATATAATCCAACACTTTGAATAATTTTTAAAAGATACTTTTGGCCAATGAGAATTATTGCCTGTGTTTAGTACAAACATATATAAATCAATCAACAAAATTTTTAATAAGAACAAATAATATAGTAGCCTGATGACCTAAATCATCCATTAAGCAATATCTCATATTTTATTCTAATTAATCATGAAAAATAACACTTAATTTATGAGATATTATTCGTTTTGATTTAAAATTTTCATGATTTTATTTTATAAAAATTATCTCATAAATTTAAGTTTAAATTTCTACTTATATATTATAACAAATTTTTAAAATCTCTCTGTATAAGATTAAAATATCATTAATTTTAGTTCAAATAATTTTAAAATCATATTTGCTTTTAAAATATTTTCTACAAATATCAAATCCCTAAGAATTCGTGATTGCTTGATTAATGATTAAAATCAAATTTTTTATGAACAGATCCCCTTTTGTTGTACCTTTCATCAGTCAACCAAACCTCACCTATTGGAAGATAAAAGACTTCAATAATACCCATCATTGATCATTTGTTTAATACCATAATTCTAAATTTTCAGCATGAAAAAAACAAAAACAATATATTAAGTCACAGTCATTGCCTCCCTTTGAAGTTGGTTGAAATAATTGAGAGGAAAGAGTTAGAAACGTTCCTGTCAAACGACCCAGTCCTCCACCATAGATCAATGTTTTTTTCAAATACGTAACCACCTTCCTTGTAATTCATGGATTTGTGGATGAGAAAGGCCCAATCTATGGTTTCACCGTTTCCTCTTTGAATTTTTTTTTTTTTTTTTTTTGAAAATTTTAAACCTCCGATTCTTCTCTTATTGAAAGTTTATTTGGTAGTAAAACATATTCTCATCGTTTTATAATTAAATTTAAATTTAATTATAAAATGTAATTATGATACGGTGAAAGTTTTTTTATTTGATGAATTACGCTATCAAATGAACCCTAAATATATGATTTAACTTTTTTTTCTTGGTCTACATTAGGGTTAGTCCTTTTCACCTTATATCATTGGCGGCGTTACCTCCAATTATATACACATCTACATGAAAAAATTTTTTATCTTAGTTTTTTCAAATTTTTTATTGTTTTTTTCAACAAACCCAACTAAGGAACCATTTTTAGTGTTATCATGCATTATATATACATCGGTTGATTGAAGCTTTTACCAAAAACCAAAATAAGAATTAATTTTGCCTATGGTGGCTAACTAAACGCATTTCCTATTGCAATCAAATCTATTATTTTTTTTAATTAAAATAAGTTTAAAATTTAAATTTAATATTTATAATTATTTTTTATTTTCAAATTGTTAACTTCTTTTTTAAAAATTAACTAATTTTTTCAACTATTGATACGTATAACTTAAGAAATTTATCAGCTATTAGTCTTAATATAAGTTTGATATTAATTGATGTAGATTATGATATAATATTTTTTTAAAATTAAAAGATTAGCACATTGATTTTTTTTTTTTGTCTTTTTCTTCAATTATAGAGGTCTCTCATTGAAACTCTAGAAAATGATCCCACAAATATAATTATAGATAGATACATGTAAACATACACTCTCTTCTATGATTGATGCATGGAGTAATGTAAACTTCACCAGCATCACATGTGGAGATGTTCCCATCTAATTTTTAATTTTAACGATTAAAATTTAATTTTTGATAATTTAAAATAAAAAATTTGTAAATTAAAATAATATTTAATAAAAATTTAAAATAGTTAAAAAAAAAAAAGGACACTAAACCAATGTTCACATTTAAACCAATACTTTTTATAGCCCAAAGAAACACGTGGCCTAATTCTTTTTGCTATAATTTGTGACAAGCACCAGTACTAGTTGATCAATGAAGATATAATAATAATAATAAAAGAAGCTGTACCCCATGTACCTGTCCATAGCTATTATAGAAAGAAAGGACAGATATTTTTTGCCATGGAGCCTCTAAAACCCTGAGAATAATGAACCACAAAAAAAAAAAAAAACAATATTCCTAGAATTATCTTGGAATGTTTAAGATTTTGGGTATCTTTGAATCAAAATTTTCAGCTCATGCATGAATGATTGAAGCTCTTATAAGTTGATGAAATGGTTGGATCTGAAATCTCTGGATTGAAAACAAATGCTGGCATCTTCATTTTATTTAGAAAAAAATTGAGGAAACTTACCTGTTTTTAAGGCACAGCGTCTGTTCTGATCCTCTCTGTTGTACCAAACTCATTATAAAATTCCAATGAACAGATTAACAACTCAGCAGAGAAACTAAAATTTTTTGTAGTAACAAATTTTGTTCTTTTTTTAGAACTGAAAAAAAAAAAATCCCCAATTGCATTAAACTTTTGCAGCAGAATTCTGGATTTTGCTGTAACAATAGACAAATGGATAACTTTGGACCGTTCAAAAATGGCGACAAAACATGAACTGTAAAGATTAAGGAGAGTCCTCTTTGGACAGCTAACTCTATTTTTACTTTTCGTTTTCTTAAAAGATTGCTTTTTGCGTTGTGTTACTTCCTGTAACTTTCCGCTACACATTGAATATAACCAAAACAAAAAAAACTGTTTTTTTCAACACAAGTTAAATTAAACGTGATCAACTTGAATAACAAAAAGAAAAACAATTTGATTTTAAAATGACAAATGGAGCCAATCGTTTTTGCCTATAAAAACCCATTTGGCCTCTCTTCTTCTTCCCCCCTTCGCTCTCTGTTCTTCCCTGAGAACATTATTACAATCTCTTTCTCTCTGTTTCCTCTGTTTCTTAGCCTTCTCCAACACTCTTCCTTTTATTAGCTTTAACTTGTTTTTGAAACCTGTAAGGTATTAATTCATTACAGCCTTACTTAAATTGTCTTTGCATTTGCTTATCTATTGACATTTTCAACCATTGTTTGTTGTGCTTTTGAAAAGCTTTCTGCTTTCTGTGTTTTGTTCATCAAAGGCTTTTCCTTTTGGGGTTCTCTCAAGAAACATAAAAAATGTATCATTTTTTTTGGTCATTGCTTTCCTATCATGGTGAAATGAAAAAAAAGGCACAACGATAAAATTTTCTTCGATAGAGAAGTTGGGTTCTTGTTAAAAGAAAGTGGGTCTTTTTCTTTGTTTAATCATCACCAAACTTTTAGTGCCATACATCAAAATAGTGGTTTTTTTTTTTGGTTAAATTATCATCACTTTTCAATTGCAACTCTTCAAGTTGTATCATTTGAGTTGTTTTTAACGCTAAAAGTGTTGTTAATAAATCACATTAGCTTTCTTTTAATGACTTTTAGTCTTTAATCATAGCTTAATGCCCTTCCCTACTTACCATTACCATGGAACTTTCTAGCTTCATAAATTTTAATATTAAAGTCTAAAAGAACACTAGCATACCTGTTTTTAATTCGATTTGTAGTTGTGGTTGTTTATCCACTCATGAACTCATTCAACTCTTGTCCAACTACCTGGGATTGGCTAAATGTTGTCCACTTACTAGGATTTCTTCTGATTTGATGGTGGTAATCTGAGTCACTTGTGTGTCCTTAGTTTGATACAGGCCATGGAAACTTGTTTTAAAATCAGTATTGATATTAGTTTGGGTGGTTTTAAGCTATCTTGGACTTCAATATTAATCACTTTCCATTGATTATTTAAGGTCCTCTGATCAAGTTCCCTTGCTGGTTATCCTATCATCAAGAGAGAAAATGGAATACGAGGACCGATACAGGCTAACTCAAAGGCCCAAATATGATTGCCTTCTGTTTGGTAAGCTAATCTACATGACAATAAGAGGTTAATATATGAATTAATGTCTGAGAAGGATGTAATAACCATTTGCTTGAATTTGCAGATCTTGATGATACCCTTTATCCCCTTAGTTCTGGTCTTGCAAGAGAATGTGGAAAGAACATTAAAGGTAAGGATTTGAATTATTATACTTGGGTGCTCCCATTTTTACTGTCAAGATTCCATTGCAATCTAAATTTTAAATGAATGCCACTTTCAGATTACATGGTTGAAAAGCTGCGAATAGAAAAGGACAAAATTGTTGAATTGTCCGACCTCTTGTATAAGAATTATGGGACAACAATGGCAGGCCTCAGGGTATTTCTCCTATTTTCCATTTTTTTTCTCCAACATCCTTGTCATTAGATAAAAATACAAATTTATGTGTTTCTTTCTCTCTTTTTTCCTTTGCAGGCAGTTGGTTACGACTTTGACTATGATGAGTACCATAGGTATTGAAATCCTTCTTTTCCTTTTTTTTTCCTTTTTTCCCTTTCTGTCTCCTTTTGATTGACCTTTTGATTTTCCTATGTAACAGTTATGTTCATGGAAGACTACCTTATGAGAACTTAAAACCGGATCCTCAATTGAGGAGTCTATTGCTGAGCTTGCCTCTTCGAAAAATTGTAAGTAGTTGGCTACCCCAATGCATAGCCAAAGTATTTACCATACTTTCATCGAATTGTCTCCTAACAAAACTTAATGTTTCTTGTTGAATTAGATCTTCACAAATGCAGACAAGGTCCATGCAGCTAAAGCTCTTAGTAAACTAGGATTAGAAGGCTGTTTTGAAGGGGTTATTTGCTTTGAGACTCTCAATCCTACCCATAAGAATACAGTTTCTGATGATGAAGATGACATTGAGTTTTTGGGATCAGCTGCTGCTTCAAATGATGTTCCTAGCAGCCCTGAAGTTTTTGACATAATTGGGCATTTTGCTCATCCCAAGCCAGGTGCAACATTACCTAAGACACCCATCGTCTGCAAACCACAAGAATCTGCCGTAGAGCGTGCTCTCAAGATTGCCAAAATCAACCCTCAGAGAACAGTAAGATGATCTATAAGTTTACTGTCACTTATATTGTAATTTATTGCTTTTTCAGTCTACTGACGTTTTTCATCATTGGATTTTTGCTGTTTCAGTTGTTCTTTGATGATAGTGTCCGCAACATCCAGGCTGGAAAACGTGTTGGTCTTCACACTGTGCTGGTAAGTCCTTGAAAATTTGGGTGTCTTAATTAAACATAAATAGTTGCTTAGAACGAGGATAAATAGCTAATTTTCTGTCCTTATTGAAAATTTTTGCAGGTTGGCACTTCTCAGAGACCTAAAGTTGCAGATTATGCATTAGAAAGCATTCACAATATCAAGCAGGCATTACCAGAGCTATGGGAAACCGACTTGAAATCTGAAGTCAGTTACCCTGGCCAGGTTCCCGTGGAGACATCTGTGACAGCTTAGATCCTATGTTTATTTCTTCTTACTATTATAAAAAGGAAAGGCCATCATGTCCAGTGGGATCATATTGTCCCAATTCCTTGTTCAGATGATGTAAATGTCTTGTTCTGATCTTCATTATATAAAATATAATTAAATCTATAAAAAAAATGGAAAATTCTCCTTTTTTTTCAGTTAAAAATAGACTGGAATGTCAATCAATCCTTCTTCCTGTTCCCGATCCCTTAACCAGTGTTGTCTTAATCGATCCAAAGGCCGTACTAATCCCGAATATAATATATGACACTGCATGTAATTTAATGATTTCTCTTATATAGTGGAGAAATTGTATATAATATACTTCAGATCAGGATGGGGGCAGATTTGATGCATGAAAAACGGAATGAACATGACTTGTTAATGATTAATAATGTAATTTATTTTCAGACTACAGGTGTAGCAAAAATGTAGTTCAAGCTTATCAAGAGGGATAGACACAAAGATGTGTAAAGTTTAAGGTTGTTGAGGCAGCTGGCCTAAGCATTAGAAGTCCCTAAAATTTCGTCAGTGCTAATATCAAGCTGGTCCACTGATTGCTCAGGACCCAAACCGGAATAGAAATATTTGATTCCGGAGTTTGGCAGATCCTCAGCCCAAGTTTTCTCAATTATGGGCCGCAACTGTTTACCAAACGCCATAATTTGCCATCATGGGTCCTGACCCACTGCGGAGTAGGGCGTGGGAAAAGGAGAGTGGGCTTTAGAATCGCAGCGTAATCCGGGATAAGGCTAACCTGGAAACAGAAACAGGATTAGGAAAAATCAAAATAATATAAACAACCTCAACAACCTCTTTAACCACTAAGACAACAGTAGCAAAACCTGAAAAAAGCAACATTTATTCCTCGTCCCGGTTGTCGGATTTTGCTTGTTTCACCGTCGGTCGGATGAATCTCAGTCAAACCAACTCTTCTTGATCAATGTTTAAGCTTACCGTAGGTAGGATTTTTCTTGTTCATTTTGATCAGTCCTAGGAGCATAAAATTACTCAAGATTTCCTTATGTTCACAAATCTTGTGCTGGATCTATTACTCAAGACCTTTGCTCTGATCAACCTGAATTCTGATGAAAATAAAAAGAGGATGGTAGTGAGATTAGGTCTTCATAAAGCTATGTAATTAGATATAAATAAAGAGCATATGAGAAAAATCAGAATAACTGATCTGGTCCCCACAGAATATGATCTTCAACTATGGTTCCATGTGATTGGTTTCCATTGTTGAGGAATCAAATTTGCTTCGATTGCGGAAGTCTAACTCAATCCAAACAATGTCCTTCACTTCTGATTGGACCACCATTATCAGTTTAGGAACTTTGCCAGATTATACAGTAATAAATAATCAAATGTCTTGGAGAAGGCTATATGATAATTGGTAAGTACCAACAAAAAAATATGTATACTTTTCTGAAATGGTTTTGGAACATGGGTTGTTTTCATTACAAAAGAGAATCCCTCATTAGCTGCTTGCCAATTTTTTATGTCAACTTTTAATGTACCAGGTTTGGGTTTAAGTTTCACAATCCAAGTGACCGTTAAAAAAAAAAAAGTGATAAAAAGAAAGCTATAGTGAAGTGATATCAGCACTTCTCAGAAATTCTATTTGCTGAATTCTAACAAATTGTTTTATATGGTATTGGCCTGGTGTTAATCAATTTGTATTGAGAGATTTGAGTGCAATTGTATAAGATCTTTGACACAATTTGCTTGGAGCTTTTGACAATACTGGAGAGAGAGAGGAATTGACACTGTATATCCACTTCAACAAGTTAATTGCAATCATGTTTATATGTATATTACAATTCTTTCCCTTTTCAAGTTGCCTATGGAACCCTGAGAAATCGGCTAAGATACAACAAAGCAAGCATAGAGTACACTTTCCAATTCTGTTGTTGATGTTCTAATGACTTTCAGTCTTCTAGATGTAAACCAGATAATCAGCTCCATGTGGCATGACCTGTGGTCATTGAAATGCAATCTGTTATCTTATCTGCACATCTGCTGGTGATCTGATAAAGTGACAACATGGCAAGAATGAAGAAAAAATTGAGATAGCATTGCCTTAGTTCCCTGATTTTTCCTGTTAGAGCACCCAAGAGAAGAAAGGAAGACCTTGAAAGTAAGCAAAATTCAAGTTCATTATTATGCTGGCTTCCAAGAAGAAAGGGCATAAATTATTCTTCCCTTCCATCCTTGCAACAGCCACCCGCTATCTTCATCAATTACAAAATCCTTGTGGTAGAATGACCTCACTCTATCAGTTGCCTCCTTCACTATCAGACGTCAAAATGGCTGTTGCACAAAGCCAGCCCTCAGATTACGTGCGTGCCACTGCTTGAATGTTTCTGGCCGCTCCACTCTCTCCCAGCTCTCACAAGCTATAACATTCAAGACCTCCCTGCCAAGAATCTCTTTCTCAACCACCATCCTCTCCCAATCTTCACGGGGCACAATAGTTTCGAATATATCAAACATTGAAGAGAAATGAAACAAAGCCTCCCGTAACCGTGTTATGAAGAATGGAGCATTATAGACTCCATTCATAATCCCATGGATAAAAAAATTTGGATTAATCTTCCGTATCAGATTGAGAACAATATTTCTTGCACTATCTACTGCCACAGTTTCATCAAGCAAGTTCTTAGCACGATATAGACAGTTAACAACAAGAAACTCATCCTCGTTAATGTCAAGTTCCTCGACTTGAATGTTATCCCATTTCTTTGCTATGGCCTTGAACAGAAATGGCACCTTGAACTCTTCAGCAAAAGCTGCTAAACGCCTCCCTGTTTCCTCAACTCGCTCAGCTGGCCTGAAACCAGGTTGTGGAAAATCTATTCCTGTAATCCGAAGTTTTGGGGGCCCCCTCAGGTCTCAAAGAATGCCGTTCAATAAGGGTGGGCCATTGAAAAGCATAAAGAATACCAAAATCTATAACATGAAGCTTCATTGACTTTCTTGATGCAACATTGATTCACTTGTTTGAGATGAAATGAGAAGCCTTGCTAAAAGGGCATGCAGCAACATACAGAAGGTAAGCTTTCAAGATATCAGAAGCTGAAGTTCTCTTACTGACAAGGCCTTTATAGATTTGGCTACCTGTACCAGCCAAGCGTGCCTCAAGACCATCAGCAAAGCAATGAGCTAATCTTTGATTCCCGTCTCCATATAGAGATGAATGTTGTCTCATTTGCTTATCAAGTCATTTGCACTCCCACGATCATCAGCTGCAACAGCTTGTGCACAATGAATCAGAAGTGTCCTCAAATCCACCACCTCCTTTTTCCCATTTTGCTTCTTACCACGCCCTTTCCCACCATTAGGTCCTTTTGACTGTCCATTTTGCTGAACCATTTTACTAGTTCCATTGCGCAAGGACTCACGAAGAGTTGTGCACTGAGTTGGTCCCTTCCCTGAACTACAGAGCAACGCCACATCAAACATCTCTGCTCGGACAGTGGATTCTGAATGAACTGCTGCCTGGTTGCTGCTTCTCTCTTCTTCAGTATCTACATCTTCTCTGTCAGAAATCTTCCTTTCCATTGAACCGGTAGGTGGGTACTCTCCCTCATCTTTTTTCTATTCCTTCACCACCACACCACCAGTCCACGCTTTAGACTCCTGCGATTCCACCCCATAGACCTCCAAATTACCAAAAAGGTCCTCACTTCTTGGAATAAATTTACAGACCTCCTCAACCCCCTTTCTGAATTGCCAAATTAATTGGATCTCGCCATTCATATCAGGGGCCTGAAGATTACTATTTGGAGACTGCAGCAGCGCATCTATGCTAGTGATTGAAGAGCTATACGATGATTGAGATATGCTAGAAACAGGAAGATTTTGCGCCTGAGTGGTACTAAAATCACCTAGATTTTGCATCCACCCGTTGTCCACGAAGTAGCTCCTACCATTAGCATTACAGCTACTACTAACACAACTAGTATAATTTCCAACGAAATTATCATCAGTGTCCTCCCCATTTTCATAAGCAAAATTAGTGGAGTTCTGTACAGGAGAAGGTGGATACTTCTTGCCAAGTACATCATAAAATGATTTCTCAGCAGCTTGAAGATCCAAAGACTCTTGAAGCATACATGGCTTGTCCTCCATATCTTCTTCCATTAGAATATCGTTTATGTATCTCAAAACTGAATCGGAAAAATCACAGTACTCTTCAGACGGATCTTCCTCATGGTTCAAACTTGAAATAGGTGCTCTATTACTTGGTGCTGGATCAGGTGGATGGTAATGAAGTTCCTTCAAGTTGTTATCTATCTGGAATCTGGGACCGGCAACAATGTTCTGATTCGGAAAAACTGATACAGGTTGATTTTGAAAGATAGACACGGTTTGATTCCTCAGTTGGAAATCCGAAAACCCTCTTAACCTAGGATCCATAAACATCTATACTCTGGCAAATAACCCCAACCAAATTCCCAACTTGAAAACACAAATGCAAACTGCAATGAAGTTATTTTCAGAAACTTCCTATTGATTAACCATCTTGTTTTCAATGAATCGAATTCTTTATATTCCAAAAGCTATTGAAAGTAACTCCAAAATATAATAAAAGCTTAGAACTTTCAATGAACTACTAACAAAGTCCACACTTTGCAGAAGTAAATAGAGAGGAATAAACAAAGAGATTCAGCAAATTCACCTACAAGCCTAAGTTATAGCCACCCCAGCCTGGAGAAAATCCAATGAACAAGAACAAGAGATAAGAATGTTGAAGTGGTGGCAATAACATTTAACCGATACTAAGGAGTCAACAAGAGAAGCAAGGAAATCAAAAGCCCTTCACAGAAACCAATCAACTTTTGGTGTAAAAAGAAGAGCAAAAAAACGTACCCTGGAGAAAACCCAGTTCAGAAAGAGAGGAAAGAGAAACACAAAGCAGACAAAAACAGAGAGAGAAAGAAACAAGGTGGGAAAAAATGGAGGCAGGGCAGTGTATTTCATTTCATTTCCATTGGAACTTATTATGATGTCTTTCACAAAACAAAAAAAAAAAGACTATATTTTTCTCCTAGGATAGTGAAGCAATAACCGCCATTGATTTTACAAAGCACTCTGACAAAAAAAAGTCACTAGATGCACGCAATCTTGTCTCTCCACATAAAATTATGACTGAGTAGGTCT